TGGTTGTTTGGTACTAAAGACTAAATCCAGAGCCTTCACACTCTGCTGTATCCGCACCCCTTTTTAAAATTTATATGTTGAGATAGGGCTTCACTAAGTTGCTTAGGCTGGTCTCAAACTTGTGGTCCTTCTGTGTTAGCCTCCAGGAATGCTGGAATTATAGGTGTGTGCCACCATACCTGGTTTCCAGTTCTTGATTATCCATGGTTACAGGTAATTTCAAATGACGCATGCAACTCACACCTTAACCCCTTCATTCCATTCTCTGTATTTCCTTCTTATCCAGCCTAGATTCCAGATTCCTTGAAGTTACATCAGTCCTCTGTCTGATTGTTCTTCTGTTACACTAGGAAAGGGAATGTAGCATGCTGCTGTAGAAAATCCCACCACCTCTGGGCATGATGGTGCATGCCTGTCATCCCAGTGCTCAGGAGGCTGAGGCAAGAGGATCACCATGAGTTTGAGGTCACCCTGGACTACATAGTGAGACCCTGTCTCAAAAAACAAACAAAAAAGAAAATCCCACCTCCGCAGACGTAGCTTACAAAGTAATGACGTCTTACCCTCTTCTCAGTGGCCTGACTCCCTGACCGGCCTGTAAGCCTCTGCTCCTCTAGTCAGTTTTCTTTGCCAGTCTCTGCAGTGGCTACTGTGAAGTTTCTGCACCCTTCAAGTATCCCCCACCAACTACCCCACTGGCTTTGTCCTCAGCCCTTAGTCCAGGTACCCTTAATGTTCACTATAAGAAAAAAGCCATTAATTAGAGCTCTTTCAACTTCTGTCCCTTCAAACCTACAAAGTCGATTGCATTTGCACCAGGCAGAAAGGAGGAAGCAGACTTTCTTCTGTATTTTCAGCCTTTGCTCTCTGCAGACTCGAGCACCCCAGCAGAGTGCACACTCATTTATCCCACCTAAAAAAACAAGAGGGGGCTGGCTGTCTTGCCTTGGCCCTGTGTTCCCTCTAGTATGACTGTCTCATCTTGCTGCTGCCTCCAGCCCAGGGTCCCAGCAGACCCACCACACTCCCTGCATCTGTCTGCCATCAGTTCTCAGTGCTGGGGCCCTCAGTCTCTGCAAGTATAGCAGTGCCCTCTTCACTGGCTTCAAGTCTGGGAGCACTTGCTAGTCATTCTTCCATGCACGACTCTTGCCATGGATTATTCCTCCCTTAAAACTTCCTTTCCTTGACTTCTCCTCCCTCTGGTCACTTGTACACAGTCTGCTTTGTCATTTCAACTTGGCCTGTGCTTTAAATATTGGTGCTCCTTGGGGTGTTGCTTTCTTCTCTCATAATATGCTTGCCTCCCTGATCTTTGCTGTACCTGAATCTTCAGTGTCATCTATGTGCTAATGAACCCCAAATCTGTATATCCCACGCAGACGTCTCCTGGGCCTTCAGACCACTCATGTCCTGTTCTCTCAGACATGACCTTCAGGCGACTCAAATGTACTGCAGCAAAAAATCTATTTCCCCTTCAGCCCCCTGCCCTTAGCTCCAACCCTGCTTATCAGCCATTTTCTGATTTAGAGAATCGTACTAGCTGTCTTGGTTGGTTTTTTTGTGCGTGGGGGGGCGTTATTTTTGATACAGGGTTTGACTATGCAATTCAGGCTGGCCATGAACTCACTCTGTAGCCCAGGCTGGCCTCAGACTCTTAGCAGTCCTCCTGCCTCAGCTTCCTAAGTGCTGAGATTATAGGCATGTGCCACCATGCCCAGCCATCTTGTTTTTAAACCAAGAAACTAAATGTTGTTTTTAACTCTTCCACCTCACAGGCTGAGGAAAGGGAGTGCTGACAGCGAGCAGAGTGCTAACGGGGTACAAATAGAGGAGACCTTCAAAAGTGACTTAGTCCCTCTCTGTCAGTAACCACCTTACTGTTGATGTTGGCCTCCTACACCTCTCTGGGCTCCGTTTGTTTCTTTCCATTCCAGTGCCCTGTTTTTGGTTTTGCCTCTGTTATCTCTCCTGGGTTATCATCCAATCTTAACTTCTCCGTCTTCAGTCCTGTCCCGTTCAATCTAATCTCTACCCCCATGGCTGTGGCCGTATCACCCAGGATAATCCTGCATTTCCTGGTGTAAGTCCCTCGTGGCTGGCAGTGCACTGTCTGTAGTTGCTTTGCTTGTCCCTTATCTCTAGTCTCTGGGTAGTTCTAGGCATGCGATGGCAGCTTTCTCCTTGCCCCAAGCTCACTCCTTATGTTCTCAGCGTGTGCATATGTGGTCTATCATCGGCCTGGACAACCAACCCCTGTTTGCTTAGCTAATTCTAAGCATTGCTCAGGTCTTGGATGCCATTTCCTCTAGGAAACGTTTCTTGACCTCTCACATCTGAATGAGGTGACCTTCCTCCTCATTCCCCTGTCGCGCTGCACTTCTATCACGGGATCACCACATAGAACTGTCCTTATCTGTGGTCAGTGTGGACTGACCACAAGTCTGAGGACAGTGCGTGGGGCTGTCTTCTGGAAAGGAAATGTGTCAGCCTCTGTACAGGTTACACAGAGCTCCTTTTCCTCTTCCAGCAGTGGGTAAACATTAGAACGAGGAAGGGAGCTCTGAAAATGAGGCACAGAGCTGGCAAGGCGAGGCTGACGTCTGTACGCGAGGTGGCCTTAGTTTAATGCCCCCAGAATTGCTTTATGGATGTGTTGCCACCGGTGGCACTCCATGGCTGTGCTCACAGTGGGAGTGGCCACATATGCCCAGTTATTTCAGAACATGGCTTTGTAGTGCAGATACTGATCTGAAACAAAGAATCCCTTGGTCCATTTTGCCTTGTTTCCTTTGGCCAGTCTGCTGTAGGTCATGTTGCTCAAGAACAATGAGATGTGGGGAAGGGGAGAGAGGAAGAAATGCGTAGGGAATCTGTAATCCCCAGATTACTGAGCAAGGCTTTGACCGTCCCAAGCCACCTACTCTTGAGTAAAATAAAATTCTTTTATCACTCTGGAATGTCTCAGATAGTCTCTGGAATGCCATAGATAATGTACTCACCTCACCCTCATTCAAAGGTGATGTCTTGACATTTTTGACATAATAAAGAGATACAGGTTGAATTTACATTCTTCTGAACAAGAGGAGTGTAGACCACCTTTATGTGACCTGTATCCAGGCAAAGTGTTATCCTGCATCCTATTTTTATGGTATCATTCTTAGGCACCTTGACCAAGTAGTCCCTGTGATAGTCGGGTTTGTACGTGTGGACATACTCAGAACCTTAGTCTGAGAATTTGCTTTGTAAACTCTATTGTGATAATGCTTTATACTTTCATAAAGTTTTACAATTAAGTCACATGTGTGCAAGATCTTAGTTTGACCTTTTAATAACTCTTTGAGGTAGGTGGAACAAAGATCATCACCCTCATTTTGCTGAACAGAAATCATATGGCTTTCAAATGACGAAAGAGGGAACTCATTGTGCCCGGTCTGTGTTCTCACCATCATACCACATAGCTTCGTGTTCAGGATCACATGTGTACAAGTGTGTGTACACGGTCAGTCAGACTAGTTCATCACCTCTTCTACAATCCGGACCCGTTGAGAAGGAGAGTCACATGTGGTTCCTCTTACTTGTTTTATTGCAGATAAAGCTGGGTTGAAAAATGCAGCCCGAGCACATGGCAGGAGCCCTCCTCAGCCACCTTGTGTGGGAGGGCAGGAGTTCCCGTTCTGTTGGTGTGGTAAGAGGCAGTCGGGTTGGTTCTTTGTGAGGAGCTGATTCAGTTGGGGGAAAATGTAAGCTCAAGCCCTTATATCTAACACCTCCTGTCCCCCACTGTGTCCGGCATAGGTCTAGCATGTTGTTGTACCAATAAATACATGTTGAACAGACTGTAATCTTTGCAGTGACATGGAAGTAGCTAAGTGCACGTATTGTCGGACACAGAAAGGCCCAATGTGTAGATGAATTGTGATTCGGAACAGCTGTACATTGTTTCTTTATCCGCCCTGAAGACACGCTGATAGCAGCTGCCCCATCCTGACCCCGAGACCTGGGTGATGCAGAGCCTTCTGTCCTACCGGGTGATGGCCGCTCCTCGGCCCCCCTCTGCCTGCCCTGCCGTGCGCAGAGTTCACCTCTCCTAGGTTCTCTTGAACATACGAAAATACCGCCTCTTTAAACCTCCTACTGCCTTTCCTCTTTTTTTTTTTTTTTCATCTCTATTCCTTATTGAAAGAGAATTTTCTTCCCTCTGGTCCATCTCCCAAAATACTTTCTCTTCTTCTAAAATTTGTCTGTTCACCTGGTAAGTAAATAATAGTACTGATAATATTCTTTCTGCATCAAGTGTTACAGTTTTTATTAGTACATGTTTGTAGTGTAGTGCATAATGATTACATTCCTTGTGGGAGTGGCTGTATGTGGGTAACACATCTTAATTTTTTTTTTTCATCCCCTTCCCAGATTTAAAGTCTTTAAAGTGACTAAATGATTCCACCCTGTTTTGGTACTGGGGATTGAACCCAAGCCTTTGCACTGAACTGTGTCTTCTGCCTTTTTATTTTATTTATTTATCAGTCTCCCTGTGTTGCTGAATTGCCCAGGCTGTACTTGAACTTGAGATCCTCAGCCTCAGCCCATTTAAAAAAACCAGCAAACACTTTTTATATGTTTAATTAAGCTTTTGCTGAAACACCAGGATTAAGAATAAATGAGCTTTTTATTCAGTTCTATTTTAAGAAACACTTTAGTACTCTAATTACACTGCTAATTTTCATTGCAAACAAAATTTCAGCCAAGGCATGAAGAGACCTCTAGGAGCCAATGTCCGAACCCAATTGCAGCTTGTCATTTTGTGGGGAAAATGTGTGTTATTTCCGGATTTAGAATAAGCCTATTGAACACAACCAGTGTGTTGTGTGTTCTGGGGTCATCCCAGGCTAATGTGTATAGGTTGATTTGTAGCCTCCTTGTCAAATCCTAACTAGGAATAGAAGAATTTCTTACCTTCATTCACGTGACACAAGAACTGTGATGTGTTTGTCCCATAGGAAAAGCATTTGACATCACCTATGTGCGCCTGAAGTTCCACACCAGCCGCCCGGAGAGCTTCGCCATCTACAAGCGCACTCGGGAGGACGGACCCTGGATACCTTACCAGTACTACAGCGGCTCCTGCGAGAACACCTACTCCAAGGCCAACCGCGGCTTCATCAGGACCGGAGAGGAGGAGCAGCAGGCCTTGTGCACTGATGAATTCAGTGACATTTCCCCCCTCACCGGGGGCAATGTGGCTTTCTCAACCCTGGAAGGCAGGCCCAGCGCCTACAACTTCGACCACAGCCCTGTGCTGCAGGTAGGCCCTCCCAGGCGGCACAGGGGCCAGTCAGTTCTTCCACACGCCAGGGGCAGGAGCCTGTGGCACTGGGCCGGCTGAGCAGGTGGAATGGATCGTGGGATGCACATGTGTGCTGAGAGGCAGACGTATCCTGGGATATAAACTTTGCACAATTAAAATTTGCGCAAAACTGACTTTAATGTCTGTATCTGAGATGGAAACATCTTGCTTCTGACCTTTTGTATTCTAGTGTTCTTTCTTACTTTCTTTTCTTTTTTTTTTTCTGTATTGGGGGCTGAACACAAGCTTTCTGACTGAGCTACATCCCTAGTCGTTTTTTCATTTTTTTATTTTGAGACAGAATGTCACTAAATCACTGAGTTGCTCAGGCTGGACTCAGATTTGCAGTTCTGCTTTAGCTTCTCGGATTGCTGGGGTTATAGGCCTGACATTTCTTACCTTTTTGATTTGATAAAATAAAAAACTGTTGTTTTTTGTTTTTTTTTTTAATTAGTAAGGGGGAGGAATTGAAACCAAGATATTTAAGAATGCTCTGGCTGGCCATGGTAGCATATGCCTGGAGTCCTACCATTTGGAAAGCTGAGGCAGGAGTATCACCATGAGTTCGAGACTAGCCTGTGCTCTACAGTGAGTTCAAAACCAGCCTGAACTATATAACAAGACCCTGTCTAAAAAAAAAAAAAAAAAGAATGCTGCCTTCTTTCATTATTATACAAGGAATTTTTGATGGAGTTTGTCTGGCACCATTGCCAAACGCTATGAGAATTCTTTATCAGAAAGGACAGGTGTTAGTGACCTGCTATCAGTTAGGTGCCTGTGGTATTGTGCTTGAACATCATGATAGAAAGTTTTCTCTACTGAACTGTAGAACTAAAAGCTGCTTTTAAAAATCAGTCCTTTGTATGCACACTTTATATACTCTTACATGGATTCTTTGGTATTGCTTAGATTACTGTGAATTTTCATTGCTTCTAGCTCTGTAGCTATAGGAACTGGTGAGACCCACGCTATTCTCCGCATACTAACCTAGAACAAACCCAGATGCTACCATCACATGGCTGAAGTTAGCATCTAAGTGAGGGGCAACCTGTATTCATTGACGGAGACAAAAATACTAGATACTGGCTTGCAAATGCAGTGTACATTTTATGAAAAGTTGTTATGATTTCTAAATGGAAAATCCTCCTGTCTCTGGATTTTCTGTTTCTGCTTTCCCATTCTGTCTCTCTGGAACGTCCTGTTTTCAGGGACTTGTTTTCTGATTTGGTTGTGTGGTTTTGGACAGTGCCAAAAAAATGAGAACATCCTGTATTGCTCTGTGAGTCGCGTTCTCTTCAACTGCGGGAGATGGTGAATATGGAAGTGCTTGGTAAACCCTGAGGTTGTAGTGCACAATAAGTATGTTTGCAAAGGCCTTTCAGAAAAATGTGTCTTGCAGTGGAGATCAGGTATGTTCAAAATAAATGATGGAGAGAAGAAAAAGCAGAGGACTGAAATCCTCAGGGAGAGGTGGTGGAGCAAACACTTGCCAGCCTTTTTTCTTCCTACAGCAAATCATTGTATTTTTGTGTCCTGGGAAGACAGAGTACTGTAGTCAGTAGGAAAAAATGGTGTTATAAAGGGACTGATTTTCTTGTACCTTTGTTAACTGTGTGCTTACAAGGCTGTCTTGAGCAGCTTGCCCAGCTCTAGGAATTTTGAGGTTTGCTATTCTTTATGGCGTAGAAACTAATGAGACTCCGTGTGGTAAAAATGCAATGGAAATCTGCATAAGTTGGTCGGTTTGTTTCATTGTGCAGGAGCATTAATGATGTATCTCTGAGTGTAAGAGCTGTGGCTCTCATAATGCTATTGCCAAGGATGGTGAGTGGATTTGACTTCCAGCTGATCTGACAATAAGGAGCAAGGCAGATATCCTTTCCCTCCAAAAGCTGCAGTCTCCCAGACATAGGAGAAGACCTTTCCTGGTTTCACTGTGTATGAGTAGTTCTAGGCTTGTTGATATTGTTTATAATAATAATTAGCATTTGTTATGTACTTACTGTGCTCTGATGTGGCAAGCACTATTCTAAGCCCTTTAGATGTATTAACTCTTTTAACTCTCATAATGACCCTGTAGGGTATTTCTGTTATCTCCATTTTACAGATGAGGAATCAGAGACCCAGAGAGAGTGTGACTTGCCCTGAATCAGTCTTGTGTGACAGAACTGAGTTTCCAACCCTAGAAAGTTTAGCTCCAGAGTCTGCTCATTTTATGAAAAAACAAACACACAAACAAAAAACTAGCTGTGTCAGCCTTTAAAACACCTTCATTCAAAGAGAGCTGGAATAGAGATGGAGCCTGGAGAAGATATAGTAGGCATTAAACAGAGATATATTTAGCTATTCGCATTACAGAAGACCAACAGATTCCTACAGTTGTGGCCATGAGTGGGAGTTGTTATTGAGTTCCAAGTTTGGAGACAGTGAAATCATCATCTCTTCTTTCTAATTATACCTGGAGTTGCATGGAGATTAGTTTTTATGAGTTCTCGGCATTGCTGTATATGCCAGATGTCTGGCGTAGTTTAAGGCAGTGGTTCTTAATCAGGGCTGTGCTTCCAGTCTCACGTGGAAGCTTCTGGAAACACAGATGCCTCTACCTGTGCACTTGCTTGTTACATCCTGAAAGTGAGTCTGACATGTAGTGCTCAGGAAGACCACTGAGGCCGAGAGCAGAAATGGTGTCTTTGGATTGTCATATGCAGTATACTACTCCCAAATTACTGCTTTTAAGCACCCATAGTATGTTCTTTCTCATGATTCTGTGTTAGCCTGGGTCCCTTACCCAGCAGGTTAGCCAGGGAGGCCAGGTCTCTTTTTCCCTCTGGTTGTCATCCTCAGGAGAGAGAACCAGGCTTTTCCTCATGGTGGAGGAAGGGTTCCAGGAGGGCAAGTCCCTGGGCACATGTACCTATCAAGCCTCTGCTTGTGTCACATTTGCTGTTGTTCTCTCCCCAAAACCAGTCACACAACATGCGGAAAAGGATAGTACAGGGTGTGGCTCTAGCAGATATGATTCATGGGGATTATTGTGATAACAGTCTACCACATATGTAACATCTGATAAAATTAGCTCAGTGAAAGGGCATTTATTATTAGGGCTTAGCGCTCATAAAACCTGGGGGAAAATTATATAACTTTCATTCTTCAGCTACCAACTTGATCAGAGGTTTTTGTTTTTCAGTTCATTCACTCAGCAAATACTATTTGCATGTATACTGTGTGGTAAACAGGAGGGAATTACAGAGAAGAAAACAGACACACGTTTCCTACCCACTTGCTGCTTACAGTCAGGTTATGAGGGCAGGATATATAGAAACAGACAATATTGTGCAAAAACTTTTTAGTGAGGTGAGATCCCATTTGTTGATTCTTTGTAGTATTTCCTGTGCAGTCTGGGTTTTGTTCATGAAGTCTCTGCCTACACCTATGTCTTCAAGACTTCTGCCTGCTTTCTCTTCCAGTAGATTTAGTGTTTCTGTTTAAAGGTCATATAGTCTCACTAGTTTGAGAAGCTAAACAAGTAAATAGTACCCAAAATGTATGTTAGATATTGTGAATTGGGAAGAAACTATTGAAAAGAAAAGAGAAACTATGATGGGGGAAAGAAGAGAGGGAGGAATGGAAAAGGGGAAAAAATTACATATAAACAAGATAGCTAAGATAGTTATACAGCTAGTTTCTCTTAGTTCATTGAAAAGAAAGGTTTGTGCTGATATTGTTTGGACAGTATCTCGTGCTTATATCTTGTACCCTGAATTACTGCTCTGAAGATAACACTATGCAATGTATTGATTATTGTTACTCTATTATCTTGTTTTTGAAATTGTGTTTTATATTTTTTCTTTTTATAATAAAAAAAGAGACAATGTAACTAAAATAGGGGGGACAAATTAGGAGGTGGGGAGGGATAGTAATTTTAGGTAAAGGAAAAGCTCGCAGAAAAGGTGATATTTTAGGGAGGTAAAGCCAAAAATGAACTACATTTGGTTGGGCTAGAGCAGTGGTGGTGGACCTGTGGCACACGTGTTGTAATGAGCTGTTTGTATCATTGGAAGCTCTAAAAGGTTCGTCATCACTGGTCTAGACCAATGTGATGACTTACTGCTTTGTGCTGGGTATCTGCTTCTCTCTAATGTTTTGTTTCTGCTGCCTGCCAGGAATGGGTAACGGCCACTGACATCAGAGTAACTCTGAATCGCCTGAACACTTTCGGAGATGAAGTGTTTAATGACCCCAAAGTCCTCAAGTCCTATTATTATGCAATTTCTGATTTTGCTGTAGGTGGCAGGTAAGTAAACTATTAAATCAGCCTTGAGTGTGATTAGAACTTTGGTGTAAAAGTGAATGTAGCAACTTGTTCATAGCTATATTAATATTATTACTAGACCTTTACTGACAACAGGAGTGAGAAGATTCAGGGATAATGTAGATCTGGAGAAAGAGGTAGCAACCCAGAATACCTTGTCAAATCCACTCATTTTTGTGCAAACTAAGCAACTAGGTTTTCCACAGTCTCGTCAAATCAGTACCCTTTGTGAATACATATTGACTACTTAAGTACAGAGCTCCCTGATAGGCTAGGGAAGCTGCTGACCAAGAGTGAGACTTAACATCCTCCTGAGAAGGCCTCACCTTCTAGGATCTTGTAAGTGAATGGGGCAGGCCATGTGTGAATACGTGAGCGTTTAAACGTAGATGGGATATCCCTAATCTAGAACTCTCAAAGCTGAAATGCTCCCGAAGCTAAAACTTTGAGCACTGACGCAATGCCTCAAGTAGAAAGTTCTCCTGATTTCATGTAATGAGTCACGGCCAAATTCCAGGCATACTAAAAACCATACATAAAGTTACCTTCAATCTGTGAATTTCATGTTTACACTTGGGTTCTGTTCCCGAGATACCTCATTATGTTTATACAAATATTAATAAATCTGAAGTCAAAAACACTTGTGTTTCCAAGCATTTGGGATAAAAGATACTCAGCCTGGATTAGCACAGTCACATGTTTTAAATAAAAAGATCAAGTAGCAGAAGAAAAGACGCCATATGTCAAGCATGACCCAGAACTGCCAGGCTAGCGAAGTGGATGGGGTCTGAGCTGGGTCTTGAGGCATAGGTAGCATTTGATAAGGAGAACAGACAGCTGAATTGGATGGACGGATATCCATCCAGAACACAAACATCCAGGGAGCATAAAATTGAGACATGGAGGAATATAAGCCTATTTGACAGAAGGAAGACCTTCTATGAGTTTATAGAACTGTAAACTAGAAAGCTAGTTTATTGGCTGGAGACCTTTTCAGCAGGCTAAGCCTTTGGACTTTCTTTCCTTGTATTGTACTGTGCGATCTTCGCCAGAAAAAAAAAATTTTTTTTTTTTTTTTTTGAGACAGCATCTCACTATGCAGTTCAGGCTGACCTTGAGCTCACTTTGTAGCCCAGGCTGGTCTCAAATTTGTGACTATCCTCCTGCCTCAGCCTCCCCAATGCTGGGATTATAGGCATGCACCACCACACTTGGCCTTAAATTTTTGGTTTTGTTTGTTTATTTTATGTTATTTTTTTTCCCAGTACCTGGGGAATCGAACTCAGGACCTCATGCCTGTGAGGCAGGCACTCTGCCACTGAGCTAAATCTCCAACTGGAAAAATTATTTTTATATGTAGCATTCCTGGTATGGGACTGATTCTCAGCAGAAGTTGTTGGAAATGGTAAACAATGAGAAATCAGGCAAATTTTTTGGAGTAGAGCTGTGATGCCAAATCAGTGGGCTAGGAAGTTCAGTATACAAGCATGGTGAAAGTAAAGTATGCTTGAGAGAATGTTTATATTCTGTTACGACGCAGTATAGACAGTAAGTACCTGACACTAGCGGGTGGCAATAGGATGGAAAGGAACTTACAGATGCACTTTACTGTAAAGGAATCAGACAGTGAAGAAGATGGGATCACTTGGGGAAGATGAGTTTAGTTTGGCCATGTGAAATTTAAGGTAGTAGGGGACACCTAAGCTTGTGCAGCAGTTGAAGATGAAAGTTAGAGATGTAAACTTGGGCCTCATCCTAGCGTGCTGTTAATATAGTTCCAGAGTATTTGTATGTATTTTTAAATGGTAGTAGCTGTAGAAGTGATTGCCATCTTTAAAAGCAAAGGAAGCATCACTTCTCTCCATCATGACTTGGTACTCACGAAGTTGCTTGAGTGCTTATGTAACGATAATGCCTGCATCTGGGATCCTTCAGGGATTCTTACCCCTAGCCACCTGAGGGAGTGTTCTCACTACTGGATATCCACATGGAGGGTGATGTATCTAATTCAGTGCCTTACCACCTTCGAATGGAAATATATGACCCTCATTTTGGTGGATTATTGCTGAGATATATTGAGTTATGTGGTTCTATAATCCTGAGATGTACATGAAACCACTCCTCCATCCTCCCAGTAATCTCATGAGATTCCCTTCTTGTCCTTCCTGCTCTGCAGGAGAGGTTCAGGGGTACTGAGTGACAGAGAAAGGCTTCCAACCCGGGCACCCTGAATCTCCAGCCCATTCTCTTTTGAACCACTGCACTCCGCTGCTTCTTGACCCACCCTTGACTTCAGGAGTTGACCCTGCAGGTGTCCTCTGGGACCGACAGGGGCTTTTCCTCTCATGCCTGGTTAATGTCACATCCCGTGACATGTGTTTCCACTTTAATCTTGCTTACTTGCTCAGTTCCCATGTCTGAATGGTAGAACTCACAAGCGTTGTCAGTTTTCTGTACACACATTTTTTCTATATCACCTCTGGGCCCTTGTGGCAGTTTCATTCTCGGGAATGTCTCCTCTCTGCACAGGTGTAAATGCAATGGACATGCCAGCGAGTGTGTGAAGAACGAGTTTGGCAAGCTGGTGTGTAACTGCAAACACAACACATATGGAGTAGACTGTGAAAAGTGCCTTCCTTTCTTCAATGACCGGCCATGGAGGAGGGCAACTGCTCAGAGCCCCAGCGAATGCTTGCGTGAGTGCCTGGGCACTGTCTGCCTACTTGTCTAGAGGAATCTGGAAATGGAGGAAGGAAGGGGTGGCTTCCTTTCATTCCTCCTTGGAAGGAAAGTGCTGTGCTCCTTTGAAAGGCAGTGTTCCTTTGACAGTTTGAGAAAGTAGAACAGTAAACTGCATGCGTGTCGGGGGAAGGGCACAGAGGAACGCAGCTGGCTGTGAAGACAAACTATCCTGGTTATTTGAACAGGTTCAAAAACTATGCCAGTGTGGCCTCTCTGAAGATGGTTTCTCTAGTCCTTTCTTTGTTGCCCTTTAAGCTATAATCATCCATCAGTATCCATGGAAGTTTGGTCCCAGAATCTCCCTCAGATATGAAAATCTGACTTAAGTCATTTATATAAAACGGTGTAGTGTCTGCGTATAACCTACACGCATCGTCCTGTGTGCTTTAAAATCAAACTTCCAATACCTACTACAGTGTAAACATAAGGAACTGATATATGGTGTTGTTTAGGAAATAATGACCTAAAAAAGTCTGTATGTGTTCAGTACAGGCACAATTTTTTTCCAATTATTTTTGATCAGCACTTGGTCAAACCTGTGGGAGCAGAACTTGCCGGTGCAGGAGGCCATGTTCCTCTTCCTGTCGATGCTCCTTTACTCAAGCGTGTGTCGTGTACTGTGAGCTTGAGACTAAGACTGCTGTCCAAGAGAGTATTTCTTAAAATTAGTTTTCTTTTGTCTCAGGAATACAGTAGGAAGAATTTTTCCAGGCCCCTTTTGGAGAGCTGGGTGGCTTTGGGAGGTGGAGGAGATCATATAGTCCTAGAAAATGACAGAATGAAAAAGTTACTGCATTGTTTATCCCTTCATAATGCCATGGTTTATTCTGAACAGATAGAGAAAGAAAATTGAGGGGAAAAGAATCATGCAATAATGATTTGCGAAGGACTTAACCACAACAAACTTTCAAGGCAGCTGTAATGTTCTTTTATCTTGACAAATATACTTCATCAGACTGTCTTGAAAATAAAACAAATAGGAAGGGAAACACTCTGAGCTTACAGACATTACTGGCAGAAGCCTTGACTCATGACTACGTTCATTGAGCTGTCTAGAGCAGATTCTCTTATTCATCTTTTCCTTCAGCAGATCCCAGAGTTACAGATAAAATTTACAGCCTCCTGTAGCATTTCTGAGACTTATTTGAACTTCTTCAATTCCATTACTGAGCTGAAATGTGCAGGGCTGGAAACTGCCGGGTAAAAAACTGGCAAAAGAAAAAATGAAATGCTCCTTCGGGGTAGCATACTAATAAATAAACACCCGGGCTTGAGAAGTACTCTGCTTAATGATATCATAGTTTTGGTCTAGTCAGGAAGCTATAAGAACAACAAATAAAACATTTGTCACTAGCAAGGGAACTGATTGTTGTAGCTAAAAGACTGATGAGGGACTAAGTCAGTTTGCTTTCTTCCTTGATCTTTATTCAGGACTGTGATGCTTCAAAGGGTGAAGCTTCTGGATATTGTGACATTACTGTCAGTATGCTGAGGCCAGGGAAGGGAACATTCCAGCAGCTTTCTTTCACCCTCGCTGTGATACTCTGGCTTTGGAACAGTGGGATCCCTGGGGTTTTGTGCTTCCTGGTCTCAGAGCACCATACCTTTGAGGTGGGGTGGGCTAGGGTGGCTTGAGGGAAGAGAAATAGCCCGTGAACAAGGGAAAGAGAGCTATTAAACTGACTTAACATAACTCTTAATATTTGATGCCAGTGGTTCAAGTTTCTAAGCTTTCAGTTACCATATTATTTTAGAAAACTGATTATAGGAAGGAAGGAAAAAAGAGAATATATATTAAGATATTAAAAAATAGTTAACATCCTTCTCTGAAACCAAATAAAACTTTATTTAGTGTTCAAGATACTACATATGTTTTGAGAAGAATCAATAATTGTGAGAGAAATCACCTTTATATAAATATAGCAAACACTTTCTGTGACTGTATAGGTACTTGTTCTTAAAATACAGCTATGCTTGATAGATGACCCAGTTGGGATTGTGACTCCCCAGTAGATGGAAGTATCTGAAGGGTCCACATTTCCATGAAATTCTATTTCTGCCTTCAGAGGCACTCATTTGAACCTGTGAATCTAAGGTTTCCTCCCTGGTTAGGAAAATAATCTGGCCCTTTGGAAGTTAGTGTCAGTGCCTTTGAACCATCTGCGACCTAAACCTTAAAACTGAAAGCTGTATATAAATTAGCACATTATTCTTTGAGTTGGCGGTAAAAGGGAAGGATAAAGAGTTAGGAAAATTGTAGTTTGACTTAGTTTTTAATCATATGTGAACAACCGTGTGGGAGGCAGATGTTTTTTCTGAGTATGGGCGTTTCTTGTATTTTTTATAAGGCTGAATGTTTCATAGTAAACAGCTAATCTGGTTATATAAACTTTTCATTGACATACTGTTTTGATGTGCTTAGTTTTTGCATCTGGTGACCACACTGTACCACCACCTCTGTCCTAAAGATGTAGGAAATTGTGGTTTATTAAAGTGTGGTAATTAAAGGTGTATTGATCTGATATAAGTTGTACATTTTGGCCAACAGCCTGTGACTGCAATGGCCGATCACAGGAGTGCTACTTTGACCCTGAGCTGTACCGTTCCACTGGCCATGGCGGCCACTGTACCAACTGCCGGGATAACACAGACGGTGCTAACTGTGAGAGGTGCCGGGAGAACTTCTTCCGCCTTGGGAACAGAGAAGCCTGCTCTCCATGCCACTGCAGTCCCGTTGGTAGGTGACAGGAAGGACTTACTCAGCCTGATGGGGTGAGACACAAAATGAATACTCCCTGTACCCCTAGAAAAAAGATTTGCTTCCTGGGCATCCGCACAGCTGAGTATGGAAGGTGCACATTACTGTAGCGTGTAGCTGGTTCTGCATCTGCCTTTACTCGCAGCATTTGCTCTCTGTAGCCCAGTTGAACTTTCTGGTGATTTCCTGGTGTGTGTAAAAAGGTGGAGGTGGCCTGAGTAGTGGTTGTGTAAATAATTAGCAGTAGGGTCATGGAGACTATCTGAACTTGAACTGCGTAAGGATCTTCCTTGTTAATGATTTTGTTTAGTCTCATCTCCTTAAAGGGCTGAACTGCTTTCAGTATGTGGGCACCACCCTTAGACTGTCGTACTTTGTCAAGGGTTTGACTGTGACTTGGTATTCATGCCTGCATAGACTTAAATTGTGGTCATGGGCCTTAAAAAGCCTGTGCTCACCCCCCAGAGAAGTGACTGGTTTTGGGTCCAGTGTACTATTGGGGCAGGACAGTTTCAAGTGTTGCTCAGCACTCTGAATAGATCCATCTTGGGCTGTGTCGGGAAAATTAAAATATCATGGCTTAAAAAGTATGATTTTGAGAGAGCCTTGGTATAAAATATGACACCCCCCCCTTCCCCACTGTGATCATCTAGAGATTACACACTGATGTCAAGAATTGCTTGTAGTTACCGGTTGTCTTTCTTGTGATACACTGGCTTTGATTCCCCCTGGGCTTGTGGGTGACAGTGAACTCCTTGAATTTTAGGCTCTCTCAGCACACAGTGTGATAGTTACGGCAGATGCAGCTGTAAGCCAGGAGTGATGGGTGACAAGTGTGACCGGTGCCAGCCTGGATTCCATTCTCTCACCGAGGCAGGGTGCAGGTAAATGGTTTTCAGAACCAGAAAAAGGGGATGGGGGCAGAGTAAGTTCATAATAGTAGGTACTTTGGCTTATTGACAGCAGCATGAACTTTTCCCCTATAATAGTTGTCAGTCAAGAATAACTATTACGATGAGCTTCTAGGGTTTTGGTCTGAATGGAAAGTAAGGAGAACTTTTAATATCTAGATGTGAAAATGCAGATGTAAAGATGACCATAGGCTTCATTTCATCCTGTTTGTATTGCATGTTAATCTACTAACATGCAAAGCAAAGGACTGACTTTTAAGAGTGGGATTTCTTTTCTCCCCTGTCTTCTCTCATTGTCTTATTCCATTATGTCGTCGCCCAGGCCATGCTCCTGTAACCCTTCCGGCAGCACAGACGAATGTAATGTTGAAACAGGAAGATGTGTTTGCAAAGACAATGTCGAAGGCTTCAGTTGTGAGAGGTAGCTCATTTTTTCTGCAGCTGTTTTGTGTTTTGCCTGTTACCGTATTTCAAAGCTAAAAGATACCTGATTGTGTCTTTATCTTTTTCAGATGCAAACCTGGATTTTTTAATTTGGAATCATCCAATCCTAGGGGTTGCACACCCTGCTTCTGCTTTGGGCATTCTTCTGTCTGTACAAATGCAGTTGGCTACAGTGCTTATGATGTATCCTCTACCTTTCAGATTGGTAATTTTGATCTTACCCTTCCACCTCCTAGAACCCTGAGACCACGTTAAAAATGTATATGTGTTTTTTCAATCAGTCACCTGGAGGGTTTTTTGATAGTAGGGACATTTTATGTGCACGTGCAGTAATGTGCGTGATTCTTCTTGTTGGGCCCTTTAATTTAATGAGAACGTACATATTTGTATAGAATTTAGTGTAGTGACCAGTGAGTACCAACATTATATAGAAAAGATTACAACATAGTGTAGCTCACAGGGTATAAGATGTATAGGTACTGTTGTAGGAACCTCATTCAAAAACTTTTATTGTTGACTTTCTATAGACAAGGTGCAGTCTTTATGCATTTTTGTAAGATATAGAGGATCTGGACTCAGGATGTTTACAGTGTCACAGTTCTTCTGTTTCTGTTCTCTACCTACAGATGAGGATGGGTGGCGTGTGGAGCAGAGAGACGGCTCTGAGGCATCTCTAGAGTGGTCCTCTGAGAGGCAGGATATCTCTGTGATCTCCGATAGCTACTTCCCTAGGTACTTCGTTGCCCCTGGTAAGTGAGGCTGGAAATCAGTGTGACTTCTTGGGTGCTGCTCTTTAGTATCATGCTCATGTTCTTACCCACTGCCGTGTCTGTATTCCAGCCAAGTTCCTGGGCAACCAGGTGTTGAGTTACGGTCAGAACCTCTCCTTCTCCTTTCGAGTGGACAGACGAGACACACGCCTCTCCGCAGAAGACCTCTTGCTGGAGGGAGCTGGCCTGAGAGTGTCAGTGCCCTTGATTGCTCAGGGCAATTCCTACCCCAGTGAGACCACGGTGAAGTATGTCTTCAGGTAAGATCACCTGCTTTGTAAAAGCATTTTGGACGTAGATTGCAGAAGTGGTTTTTTTTTGCCTAAGCTTATCTGGCTTCAAGGCATATATTGAAGAAAAACTTCTAGGTTATGATGGTGACTTTGTAAAAGGGACCTGGCCTTTGTTTCCTTTACCTTTTTCAGTTGTACTGTCAACCCAGCAGTCTCCTTTCTGATTTGGTTAGACTGTCAGCATCTCATTGTTGGTGGCACAAGTGAGAAATACATCCCTGTGCCTGAAGTTAACATTACAGAAGTGAAGGAGGCCCCTTCTTTCCTTTCTTTCTCTCCAGGCTCCACGAAGCAACAGATTACCCATGGAGGCCTACACTTACCCCTTTTGAATTTCAGAAGCTCCTAAACAACTTGACTTCTATCAAGATCCGGGGGACATACAGCGAGAGAAGTAAGTAATGATGCAATTCAGGAGAACTGTTTAGATAACGCAGACGTTTATCTTTTCTAATGCTGTAACACTGAATTCAAAAGAACGATATAAACTACCACATTGTGTATGAATTATATATAAAAATATATTTACAGAAACTACTTTCATGGACCTGAAGAGAATTTACTAAAATTAGTGAATAGTATTGTTTTATGAGTAATAAGACATTTTCTAATTATAATCTCTAGTGGACAAATCAAACTAATAGCTAATTTTCACTGGAATATTGGGTTTTTTGCCTCTAGCTGTTGATTTTTCACAAGCTTTTGGAAAAAGAAAGGTGCCTCATTAATTCTCCTTTCTACTCTGCACAGGCGCTGGATATTTGGATGATGTCACCCTGGCAAGTGCTCATCCTGGGCCTGGGGTCCCCGCAACCTGGGTGGAGTCCTGCACCTGCCCGGTGGGATACGGGGGGCAGTTTTGCGAGATATGCCTCCCGGGTTACAGAAGGGAAACCCCAAGCCTTGGACCATACAGTCCTTGTGTGCTTTGTACCTGTAACGGACACAGTGAGACCTGTGACCCCGAAACAGGTGAGAAGATGACCTTTGGCCACTGCCGGCCCGGCTCCTCTTTAGCAGCTAGCAGAGAGATGCTCGTTGTCTTCTGCGCTTGTACACTCATCTCGCACCTGTTTCCCACATAGGCGTGTGCGACTGCAGAGACAACACGGCGGGTCCCCACTGTGAGAAGTGTAGTGACGGCTACTATGGAGACTCAACCGGGGGCTCCTCCTCTGACTGCCAGCCCTGTCCATGTCCTGGGGGCTCAAGCTGTGCTGTTGTCCCCAAGACGAGGGAGGTGGTGTGCACCAACTGTCCAGTGGGCACCACTGGTGAGTCTGCCTGCGCTTTCCGTCTTACTGAAGACCTGGGGAATAGTGACGTTGATTTTTTTTTTTTTTTTTAACTTTAGCTCTTTGTTTGGTTCAGTGATTATAGGCAGAGGTTTTGTAGAACATACAAGGTGCGATGAAAATATGCAGCAAATGTTTAAAAACAATTTAAAAATCGATTACAGTAAAAGGCACATTGCCATTCACCCGCCACCCCAGCATCTTCCATCTCACTTCAGTCATCTTATCCCTCCGTCTTCAGAACTTCCGGAAGAAGTTTTGAGAGTCCTGTTTCCTGTCATTATGAGCTGTGATTAAAAATACCATGAGTGCTGCTGCCTGCCTGTCCAGTGGAAAGGCGGGCTCGTAACAACATACGATGTGCACTCATCCGCCGTGTCCACCTCATCTGGCACTGTGCCTTCTGGTTCGCCTTCTGGTTCTTCCCAAAAGTCAAAATGGCTGTGTAAAGTAAATGCTTTGAAGTGACTCAGTGTGTCAAAGCGGCCACAACTGCACGATTACAGGCATGAGAATGAACTTCTAGCGTTGCTTTAGAAAGTGGCAAGAACAGTGCGTTAAGTGTATTTGAAGTGAGGAGAAATATTTTTGGGAGGGGTTAATGACAGTGTATCTTTTACTGTAATATGTGAAAAAAATTGAACATTCACCCTAGTTTTGATCACACAGGATAGTTGTGGATTCATAAAATTCATGTCAGGTAATTAATAATAGCTAATATGTATTAAGTCTGTATGGCCACGTACTCTTCTAAGCATGTTCCATGTGCTGCTGCATTAATCCTCACGAGCCGGTGAGGAAGCTCCGCTGTCATTACCTTGTGACGACCAAGACAACTGAGGCACAGAGACAGACCTCAGGTTTTGTGTCCGGGGCTGCATGGCTGCTCCCTGGTCAAGGGGATTCCAGCCCAGCCAGTGTGGCTCCAGAGATAATAATGGCTACAGTATGTTGTTCTCTTTCATAAAAGGAGAACCTAAATTTGATTTTCTAGTTTGTGAGGCTGTTCTGGGATTCTTGATATAGAGTAATAATTTTAAAATTCTTTCTCTAAATAGTCCTCTCAACATATCATTGTGTTATTTGCAAAAATAGATTTATTTTTATGTTCTTTCTCAAAAGAACATAGAACTAGTTTATTCCTTGCTTCTCGAGCAGTGCTGTGCTGAACTACTGAGGAGAGTGGGGCTCCGGACGGACCACCCCCTTCTTCCGGCAGCCGCGCCTGCACCATCGGGGGAGGTTCCCGCGCAGCCTTCCGTCTGTGGCAGGCTCTGTGTTAGGGGACACTGGCACTGTAATCGTTAGGAGTCCCCTTCCCGCAGCTCCCTTCCATTGTCCTGCTGACCCTACCTCTAGCACAAGAGAACTGCAGCCTGCAGCCAGTCATTTGCTTAAGGTAACTGAGCAGATAGGGAATAGAAATTAGTGTAGAATTTCATATCTCAATTTTCCTGCCTTGTTAAGATAAGATTGTTTAACTGATACATGAATTCGTACATATTAATTGGCTACCCTGTGATGTCTTAATATATGTGTGCCTTGTGTCCTACTTTTCAAAACACCATTTCCCAACAGGGTCCCACCCCAACAGACTTCTGCAGCCTTAGTCCTACCCCCCACCCTTGCACCTGTGCTCTGCTCCTTCCCTCCTGGGCTCCAGCGCCTCAAATGTCCTGGCCTCCTGGCCTGCTGCAAGCTTTCCCTTTCTTCGGCATTCTGCGCTCTGCTTCTTCCTACTCTCTCCTAGTCCTCGCCAGCTCTGTCTGTTCTGTGGGGCTCAGTTGAAGCATCTCTTCTACAGGAAGCCTGTCCTCGAGGAGATCTTATTAGTCACCAACCACGTTGGCCTCGCATACGATTTGCGATGTGTACTTACTTTTCTTGAGTATCACCTGGCTTGAAGGGAATGATGAACAGCAGTTCTTGAGGATGTTAACTAGGAGGCAGCGGTCTGTATGAACACAGTATAGAGCTTATAAAAATGATGCTATCCCTGTACCCTGCTTCATGTTTTGTCGCACTTTTAATTTGTTTATTGTGTGTCTCCTCTCTTTACTCTTTCACCCCAGGTTTAAGCACTGTAGAGACAGAGGATTTGCTTTATTCACTTGTGAATAAAGAACAGTATTAAGCATGACTATTTGTTGAGTGACTGAAGATGCTTGCTGACTAAATAAAAGGAGGCTGATTATAAGACGTTCCTCCTTTATAAGGTTTTCCAAGACTGTGTACCAATAACTGACGGTTACTGAGCTCTGCATGTGTACAATTTAATCTTTTTAAATGATCTTTAGAGATGAAGAAATGTTAATAATTCTCTTTTCCAATAAACTTGAGTGCATGTCTTTAGGAATAAAAGATGAATAAAGGATGTTCCCTACTCCTCAGAGGCTGACATTATGCAGAGAAATAAGATAATTTTAATACAACATGATCAGTTCAGATAAAAGAATGTACATAAGGGTTCTACAGGAGAAGAAAGGGAGACGCCTCTCCCAGTGGGGGAGGAAGATAAGGAAAACTAAGGCTGGAAAAATGTGAGGCTTGCCCAGAGTCACGTACATATGACAGTAAGGATTTGAACCCAGATCCTAGACTATAAATTAAATTAAATTATAGATTAGCCATAACTACCAGAGGATATTTTGGAGTGACTATTACAGGCTACCAGGATCTCTGTTTTAACTTTTCTACCTAATGTTAGTTTTACGTTTTATTCAAAGCAAGTTTTAAAACTTTGAAAACATGGTTCATGTCTAGAATAGCTAAGTTACCTGACGGAAAAGCGTAACTGAAACGCTGCCAGAATGCTAAGTGGAAAGAGATTTGAGCGAGAGTCGGGTGGCTGTTTGCGTCAGAGCAGAAGAGTCCCTAGTGCCTCATCCTCTGCAGCACCCTGTCCCTTCCCCTCCTGCCCCAGCTCCGCCTACGCTTCCTGTTCACCTCGGAGCTCAGTCCGCGTCTGTCAGAGCCAGTGGTTGGTGTTAGTGCTCATCTTGCCTGGTCTCTCAGCTGCCCCCTTCCGTTTTCCTTCAGCCTCTCCCCTCCTTGGGGATCCTTCCATCGCCTCTGCTGGTCGACTGGGGGCTTCCATGTCAAGCTGTCTGCATTCCCCCCTTAAGTGATCAGATTTCTTTAGGCCTCAAAAGCCTCTTGCTTTCTATAACCTCAGCATCTGTGTCTTCAGCCCTAACCCGTCTCCTCTGAGCATCAGCAACCCCCTTGCCAGCCCGCCCGGGCGGTGGCCACCAGCCTTCGCTTTCATCCAAATGATGAAACCTGTGTGTGCTGTGTCACATTTCACCTCCCTGGGGTTCAGACACAGGAAGCACATAGAGGAGGACAGAGAGGAGGATGAGGGCTGAGCATTTATTTCAGTGCCTTTTCTCTGGAAAGTCCTGTGTGTTGATGACCCCAAATCAAAGCTCAGGTCCTGGAAGGTGACCTTATGCAATAGCACTTTCTGACTTTGTTTCTGGCAACTGAGGTGCAGGCTGTGGAGCCTGTCCCAGGCACTGTTCTCCTTGTAGTTTCCTACACTCTGCTGTACTTGTGTGATAGCACTTTTGTTAACCCAGGCTTCTTCTGAAATCTGGGCGGAAGCCTCTGGCTCCATAACGTTTACGTTCTGTTTGCCTGTAAAACCAGCACCACGTGGGTGATGCCAGGGTCTGCAGCCAGCTTGAGCAGTAGCTAGATTCCAGGCTATATTGCATCATGGCTGTAGGGGCTTCTGCGTGTCTGTTTGGCTGAGCACTCTGAATGGAATCCCAGGAAGCCATTCCTAGGTGGCCTTTCTGGAGCAGGTGCCCTGAGGCTGTTTTCCTAAAGCAGAGTCTTTCACTTTCTACCCTTGAGTCTCCCAAAGGTGCAGCCTTTCGGATTCCTCCCATGCCCTTAAGGTGTCCTTATGCAAAGTACTTGGCTTCTTTTTAGTATTAATACTTTTAGCAGCAGAACTTCCTTCTGTTCAAACTCTGTATTCCTCAAGGTACAGAAGCTTTGTGGTGAATCTCAGAACTTTTAAAGTCACTCAGCTGTGCCATTTTCTCAGTGTAGAGCTAGCTAAAGACGCCCAACGGTACCATGCCACAGCCTGAATGCTGGGCTACTGTTATGGTTTGTGTCTGGGTGTCGCCCCAAAGCCTCATGCGGTCATGGGGCGGGCTTTTAGAGTTTGATTAATTATGGGTGTGAGAGCTACACCCGCCCTGGGGTGGATAGTTTGTAAGGGAGAGAAAGAGGCTGCTTGGGGCCATTTCCTGGCTTTTGTGCTTGTTGCTTTGCTGTGTTCTGCCGCCATGAGCTGTAGCCCTCTGCCATGTGCCACTCTGCCTTATAACCTGCCAAGTATGGACTGAAACCTCCACAAACTGTAAGCGAAATAAACCTTTCCTTCCTAAATTTTGGGCGTCAGATATTTTGTCCCAGCAACGAGAGAAAAGTAACCGAGACAGCTACCTTGAGGTTTCCTGTGCCTCATTGATTGGTCCTCCATCCTTAATCTCAGCCTCCTCCAAAGTCTCAGGCCATGAACGAAATATTATAGACACATTTTCTGCCAGAGCATAACACACGTGGCCTGGCCTGGACTGTCATTTGAGTCCTTGTTTCCTTGAAACCTCCTGAACCTGGTCTTTACAATCTGCATTTCTATCAGCATTCTGGTCTTCTGATATTCAAGCCAAATCTTCCATCAAGCTCGGCTCCCATCAGCCGTCGCATTCTAGGGCTCCTTCTCTAGCCAGCGTCTCCAAGCCTGTCCAGACTACTCCTGCAGTACCAGTTTCAAAGGCATCGGAACCATGCGGTCAAGTACAGTCATAGCAATGACCCCTACTTCTCTAGTATCAAAATCTCTCAGTTACTTTCCTTGTCACTGAGACAAAAATATCTGACACTTAAAGGAAAATTTAAGTTAGAGGAGAAAGGGTGTATTTTGGCTTACAGATTGTAGTAGAGGTTTCAGTCCGTAGTTGGCTGGCTCCAAGGCAGGGCAGTGTGGCAGAGGGTATAGGTGAGGAATGGCTGTTCCTGGGATGGCGACCAGGAAGCGGAGAGTGCAGGGAGGAGCCAAGGGTAGGATATCACCTCCCAAAAGCCCCACCTATAGGTCCCTCGGAGGATATCTAGATACAATTCATGACATGAGCAAACTTCCAATTCCCTAGGACCTTTAGGCAAATGTAGTCCCTATTAGCTACAGAGATATCAGTCCAACTTGAGCTGAGGGTGGTGCTAAGGTGGAGGAAGCAGAACGAGGAGCAGTGAGTTCTGTGCCATGCGAAAGGGCTCTGAGTGTGGCTCTGCCTCTCTTCTGTCAGTTTGGCTGTGGGCAAGGCACTTCACGTTTCTGTTTCCTTAGCTGCAGTAGAAGCACATGGCAGCAGATGACTTCTAAGTTACTCTCTAGATATCTCTGTTCCCATACTGGTGGACAATTGTATCTAGATATCCTGCAAGGGACTGCCAGATGAGAGGGAGCAGGTGCTTTTATATTTTAAGGGCATTATCCTGCTCACTCTGGTTGGGGAACTTACAGGGTCCAGAGTAGCATGTCGTCTTTTTTAATATTATCAGGTAAAGCAAGCGGATGAACGTGCCATTCCTTGGGACTGGAGGTTCATAAACCTTGGGTCTAATTCATTTATGAAGTACTTCTAGCGCATGGTTTGGGTTAGTTGTCAGAGTGTTTGAAGTGAGGTAGGTAAGAGGAGGAAATAGAGGTGTGCAGGAGGTTCCTCCCCCTATCTGGCTCAGTGCCAGGGCTGCGGCCCAGGTCCCTGCTGCCCTCCACTGCACCATGACACCTCCCATCTGAGATACTAGACTGCCTGTGGTAACCTAGTGTTTCCTCTGTAACAGTGGACTGTCTCATCCCTAGGTAAGAGATGTGAGCTCTGTGATGATGGCTACTTTGGAGACCCCCAGGGTAACAGTGGCCCTGTGAGGCTCTGCCGCCCGTGCCAGTGCAATGACAACATCGACCCCAATGCAGTGGGAAACTGCAATCGCTTGACAGGAGAGTGCCTGAAATGCATCTATAACACTGCTGGCTTCTATTGTGATCGGTGCAAGGATGGGTTTTTTGGAAATCCCTTGGCTCCCAATCCAGCAGACAAATGCAAAGGTAATCAGCCACTGGTCAGGTGCTTGATATTTCTTTATTCTGTGACTTCGTCTCTGTCTCTTGGAATACTTGCAGTACTTTCATCTAGGGCAGGATCATTAAAAATACAGTGTGACTTGTATTTTTAAGTTTGTATAATTCAAAAGTTTTTAGGCATCATATTAAAATAGTAAAAAGAAAAAGTTCATTTTAATATATTTTATTCAACCTAATATAGCCAGTGTATTATTTTACTAAGTAGCCAGTAAAAAATTATTAAATGGTACGTATGTTCTTTTACCTCCCACACTACATCTTCAACACCCAGTATTTATAGCACATTTTCAACATCTATAGTGCACATCTCAGTTCAGATCAGTCAGCCACCTTTCAAATGCTTCATAGCCGAATGTGACCCATGGCATGGGACAACACAAATGTAAAGGATTTATTGGAGTGGTTTATCGTTCAGTCTTCCGCTCTGCTGATTTCCTCTGTGCTGTCCCTGTCTCCCTGCTGTAGCCTGCAATTGTAACCCCTACGGGACGGTGAAGCAGCAGAGGAGCTGCAACCCTGTGACCGGGCAGTGCGAGTGCCTGCCTCACGTGTCCGGCCGGGACTGCGGCGCTTGTGACCCTGGCTTCTACAACCTACAGAGTGGGCAAGGCTGTGAGAGGTGAGATGTCAGTGCCTCTAGAAGTCATCTTTACTTTTTATATTGCAAGAAGTGAGTTTTTGTAAGTTGTACTTGATAGTTGACTTGATTTTGTCCCAAATGATTTGAATACCTAATATAGGAAATGTGTCCTTTAGGACCAGTACTGGAGAATTATACTAAGCTAATGGGACAAAGCCCTGGAGCACAGTGGCTCCACCTGTGTCAGAATCAGCTGAGCAACATTTTTAAAACAAAACTTATAAAGTTCTTCCTGGGATGCTTAGAATAAATCCTGGATTGCAGCCCAGGAAATCTTAGTGCCTGGTTGATGACAATGCAGAACCATCTCAACTCAGAATACCAGTGGTGGTGTTAGTCTCAAAAATGACGTCCTGAATAGCACTTGTAGAAATTACTTGAACCTCAGGAGCTTAATAACCTTTTACATTCTGTTGTGATAACCCTAACATAATGTTTTCTGATAGAGAGTACACCAGTATTGTGCTGAAAAACAACACAACTTTTGCTTAAAGTCTGTTGTCCTTACCTGAGAAACGTCCCGTGTTGTTTTCAGGTGTGACTGCCATCCCTTGGGTTCCACCAACGGGCAGTGTGACATCCGTACCGGCCAGTGTGAGTGCCAGCCTGGCATCACCGGGCAGCACTGTGAGCGCTGTGAGGTCAACCACTTTGGGTTTGGACCTGAAGGCTGCAAACGTAAGGCGTGCTGTTGGCGTGCGACCCTAATCTGCTCTGGTTCTCGTTAGAAAGGACTTTGGCCACCCCTGAGTAGCCACCTCACTGTTAGGGTCCGGGCCTTACCTAAGTCATCGTGGATGCTCTCTTCCATGAAATACTGGTTTTTTTCCTAAAACTCTGGAAATCGAGGGCTTCTCTGGTTTCTTTGCAACCACCTTATTTGCATTTTCACTTATTGTGTTTCTGATTCTTCCTTGTTCCAAAGAAGAATCTCCCTTTGAGTACTGAGCTTGCCTGCTGTGCTAAATGAAACTTTTTTATTGATCACATTCATAGTGGAGATAATGAAACAGTGAAGAATTCTTTTCGCATTGCGTTTGTTGACTTACTGGCTGCAGTTGCTTCCCACCCTTGGGGCCCTTTTGGTATGGTTGCATATAAACATCTGCTTCTCCTTGGCATAAACACTTGCTTGGAATTAGGCCTCAGAACAGCTTGGTGTTTTTGCTTTCTGAATTCCTTCATTTCTCCTGTGGAATGTAGCAAAAGTCATTTGCTCAGCTCAGAGAACAAAGTGAGTAAACAAACTATAAAATAATGGAAGAGAAGCACTAGCATTTGAGTTTTCTCGGTGTTTAGAGGAGTACAGGCAATGGGTAGTTGAAAGTAGAGATGAATTCCTGAAGTGCGTGGAAAGGGCACTGAGTAGTTTAATGATTTCTGTAACTGTAACTGTTAAGTAACGTGAAATGTGCCCCAAAGGATGGACATTTTATTTTAAAGCTTATTTTTACTTTAAAAATATGTCTTTTCTGTGAAAGGAACTTAAACATGTAACTTCTCATAAATAGACCTTTTTTAAAAAGTTCACTTGTAATGATTGCAATCAGTTTATTGTTATGAGTCTTGAACAGAGAAATGCACCCTTCTTTTACTTACTATGTACTATTTTCCCTATGTTCTGCAGCTTGTGACTGTCATCCTGAGGGGTCTGTTTCACTCCAGTGCAAAGACGATGGTCGCTGTGAGTGCAGAGAAGGCTTTGTGGGAAACCGCTGTGACCAGTGTGAAGAGAACTATTTCTATAACCGGTCTTGGCCTGGCTGCCAGGAGTGTCCAGCTTGTTACCGACTGGTAAAGGATAAGGTGAGCTGTCAGTCACACATTCGTTCATTCAGTAGACACTGATTGGAAACCTGTGATACATTAAGCTTCAGAGATAATGTGGTGAACAAGATAGATAGGGGCCCCATTCTGAAAGACCTTGTGTTCCAGGTTGGAGGTAAGTAATAAACATAAATGAATAAACAAGAAACACTGGGATAAGTGCTAGAGAGAATAGCAAATGGAGAATAATTGGGAGATACTCTGTAAAAGGCCTCTCTAAGGAGATTTCTATACATTGAGCTCTCAAGGATGAGAGGGAATGAGCCACGTAAGAAGTATTGGCAGGTTGTTCCAGGCAGAGGGAACCTGGGGACAAGACCTAGAGGCTACAGTGTGGCTGGAGCCTGCTGAAGGAAGAGGAAGTAGTTTATAAGACCGGAGAGTATGTTAGGGACAGGTTATATAGGACCATGCTGTGGTAATAAAGAAGTTATGTCTTATCTCAAGTCCTGTGGAAGTGTACTGAAGAAACTCTTAAAAGCTTAGAAATCTAGTGTTGTTATTTTTTTTACAGAGGAGCACTCTGATTGCTATATAAAGCGTGATGTTTAAGGGTGGGCAAAAGAGGAAGCCCCGATCAGGTTGGATTGGGAAAGAAGAATCAGGATGGGTCTTGAGTTTTTTGCTTAAGGTAGCTAGAGACATTTCCTTCAGAGATGACCCAGAGAGAACAAATTTAGGAAGTGTAAATTGGGATGCGTTTGAGATACTTAGCAGAGAGCCCAGTGGAGAAATGAAGACAGCGATCTAATACTCAAGGGAAAGGGCAGAACTAAAAAACTGTCAGCAGGCAATGTTTCAAGTCAGAGGAATGGTCCTGAAAGCTTTCTTCTGAAGTCAGAGAAATAAAGAAGGCCCACCCTTGTCACCTGTTTACAGGTAGACATATCTGGAGGGTACAGACCTACCTATTCACAGAGTGCCCTGTCACTGCTGCAGGAAGTACAGTTGGGTTCTTCCTCTTTTCTCCTCCATATATCTAGGTTGCTGAGCATCGAGTGAAACTCCAAGAATTAGAGAGCCTCATAGCAAACCTTGGAACAGGGGATGAGATGGTGACAGATCAAGCCTTTGAGGATAGACTAAAGGAAGCAGAGAGAGAGGTCACGGACCTCCTTCGTGAGGCCGAGGGTGTCAAAGGTATGTGCGAGTAAACTGTGGGTAAATCTGTGATGTAGTTCCTAATTCAAAGTTAATTGGTATGGTTTTATATAATTTATATGGTTTTATAAATATCTTTCTCACTTTGTTTTTTTGAGACAGGGTCTTGCTTTGTAATTCAGGCTGGTTTTGAACTTCCTATGTAGCCCAGGCTAGTGTCAAACTCAAGGCAGTCCTCCTGCCTCATCCTCTCGAGTGCTGGGATTACAGGTGTGTTCCACCATGCCTGGCTTCTTTCTCACTTTTTAAACAACTTGCGGAATATGAATTACTTTGTTTTTTAAACCATGTTTTGAAAACCAGTCTATCAACTTTAACAGATTAAAATGCTGTAAACAGAAGGTAATTTTCCAACATATCAAAAACTATTTGATATTCAAATTTAAAGAATTTTATAAACCTGTTCCATATATTTTTCTGGTGATTAGTGATGTCAGACATTCTTTTCATATTCTTATTGGTTGTTTGTATGTCACCTGAAAATGTCTATGTCACCTGAAAATGTCTAGATCTATTATCTGTTTAAATCATGTTACTTGGTATTTTGCTATTGAGTTTTTGGAGCTCCTTACATATTTGGGATATCAAGCCCTGTTCAGATGTATAATTAGCACATATTTTTGCTCATTCTGTAGGTTGTTTCTTTCCTTTGTGCTGTAGCTTATTAGTTTGATATAATCTCATTTGTCTATTTTTGTTTTCGTTTCCTATTCTTGGGAATCTTGTCCAAAAAATTTGTGTCTATTCAAATGTCCTAAAGCTTTTCCCCTGTGTTTTCTTCCAACAGTTCATTGTTTCAGGTCTTACATTTAAATCTTTAATTAATGAATTGAGTTTTATAACTAATGAGCTATAGGGGTCTACTTTCATTCTGCATATGAATATCCAGTTTTCCTAGCACTATTCATTGAAAAGACTGTCCTTTTCTCATATATGTTCTTAGCAACATTGTTGAAAGTTAGTTTGCTGTAGATACATAGGTTCACTACTACGTTCTCTAAATTTGTTCCAAGGACTGGTCAATTTTGAATATTACTTAATGGACTTTGTATATGAATATAATCGCATGACGTGTGAGAATTTAATCCTGACTGGCTTGTTTTTGTTGTACTTTTATCTTTTGCTTTTTCAGGACCCAAGTGTGAAGTTTAAATTGAGTGCACATAGTTAATAAAGGACCATTCAAAAAACTCTTTTGAAGCAGAGATCAGTTTGAAAGAAATTACATAGATATGCAGAGCAAAGGGGTGGGATAGTCTAAAAGTCTACTTCAAATACAAAATGAGTTGAATTTGCCATACATAGGCCAATATCTGTTAAATACAGATCTTTCTAAGTTTTGAAATATATTTAGCTTTCAGGACTGACATCATTTTTAACAACTTCATGTATTTATTACTAAATCTGACATGTGCGAGAATATCAAAATCAATCCCTCCTTCATCAGACATTCCTCACCTGTCTTCTCTTCATCAGCCGCTCTGTAAAGCTGTGGACATACAAGTGAGGAATGGGCAGGGGGACTTGCCAGGCAAAGGGGCGCATGCATAATCCTAGCACTTTGGGAAGCCAGGGCAAGCAAGATCACCAATTTGAGCCCAGCCCGGTCAGCTTAGCAATTTAGTGAGACCCTGTCTCAGAATTAAAAAACGGGCTGGGATTTACCTCAGTGCAAAGGCTGTTGGTTCAATCCCCAGTAGAAAAAAAAAATGGACAAAGAAAGGGGCTTAGAGTCAGGTGGGATGGAGAGACATGCAGGTGGAGCCTGGTGTGAGAAATGTAGCCACGATGCAGGTGTGAAGGAGCATGGGAAACTTGTCAGAAAGATGCTGTTTTGAAAAGTAAAAAGTAAGCAGCGCCTCAGATTTCATACAGGTGGTGTATGGACTTTCTTCTGTGATGCCATTTCAGATGTAGACCAAAATTTGATGAGTCGACTTCAGAGAGTAAATAACACCCTGTACAGCCAGATTAGCCGTTTACAGAATATCCGGAATACCATCGAGGACACTGGGAGCTTGGCTGAGCAGGCGCGTGCCCGAGTAGAGAGCACAGAGCAGCTGATCGAAATCGCTTCCAGAGAACTCGAGAAAGCCAGAGTCGCTGTTGCCAACGTGGTGAGTGATGGGGAACGTCTGGGGGGGATGTTGGGAAGCCCTCTGGTCATGTGTAGCAAGTTTGTTAGTGGCAGTACAGTGGTTCTGCACCCCCTCCCATCTTGCTTTATAGAGCAAGAAAACCATATTGCTCATGTTTGTCCCATAACAGTACAGACAGGATAAAAAGTTGGCTGGGCATGGTGGAGCACACCTCTAATCCCAGCACTCGGGAGGCTGAGGCAGGAGGATTGCTGAAGTTTGAGGCCAGCCTGGCTTACATAGTATACTTAAGGGCAGTGTCAACTACATAGGAGACCCTTTATTAAAAAAACAAAAACAACCAAAAAATCCTAGGGACATCTAGGTTCCTTCCCTTGCTTTGCTCCTTTGGTACTGAGAAAATTCATCTTCCTTTATCCTTCAATGAAAGTAGCAATAATTTGCAGTGAAAAGTGTTGATATTAAATAAAGACCTCTGAAAATACACATTCCTTTTGCCCCAAACACTAACAAAAATTTAGTTTTGACCCTTGCTTTGTGACACTTAAACAGTTCAGTCCTTTGAGGCTAAATGCTTTATTTTCCCTGCAGTCCATCACTCAGCCAGAGTCAACGGGGGACCCAAACAACATGACTCTCCTGGCGGAGGAGGCCCGAAAGCTCGCTGAACGGTAATCTGCAGGCCCTGTCTGGCCATCAGGGTGCAGCTTCCCTTCCGTGCATGTGGTCCTGTGTGGTCTCCAGACTCTTTCCACTGTACAGTTTGCTCTCCTTTCTGGAATGTGTTCTTCTTCCTTTTACTCTGAATATTTGTTTTATTAGAATGCAGTGGTTTGATGTGAAATTATGTATCTCAGAACCATACCATTTTTACATTTTTAACTTCAAAACCTTAAAGTAAAAGGTTAAATAAATATAAGTATTTATTCCTGTAAATTTTATATCACCAATTTATGTGGGCAGTATCTATTCTCAGTTTAGAGAGTAATGTTCATAAATTTAGCCTCACCAAAATGATTGCAAAGTTCCACATTAATGAGATTTTTCAGTGCTTTTTCGTTTCTGCCCACGTTGGTGTATGTCTACACAGAGTCCCCCCCTACCCCCGCCAAAATGTTGTCTTACTTAGTTTTCTTCATTGCTGAAATAAATACCTGGCACTCAAAGTTAAAGGAGGAAAGGTTTGTGTAGCTCACAGTTTGTAGAAGTTGCAGTCCACAGTTGGCTGGCTCCAAGGCAGGGTGGCGTGGCAGACAGGAACTGCGGAGGAGAACAGTTCATGCCGGGAAGAAGGTAGCAAAACAAGCAAGCAACAAACTGCAGGAATCTGGCAGCGAGCCTCTTTCTGTCCCTTACGTTGTATACGGGCTACAATGGGATACTCTAAGGGTGGATAACACTCACACTCTTAATCCTAGTCAGCACCCTTATCCGCACCCTTATCCTAGCATTGTACCATGAATCACTCACACACTCTAGATCCAGCCACCTCTGAAAAAGCCCATCTATGACTGCGTGAGGCTTTAGGGAGACATCTAACCACAAGCCATAACAAATATATATATATATCAGGAAAAGAAAAGCTGTGTGAGTGTTTTAATACTAAATTTATTGAGACATTGTGAGATTAACACAAGCTACCTTTGGCCTCTTCAATTACAAGAGGTGCCCAAAGTGGCAGCCGTTAGTTCCAGACATTGATCAGCATGGGGAACTGCTGACGTGTATATAAGTTTTTTGGCCGACTGTATAATAAAAGAACAATTGCCTAACCTTTACTTCTTTCCCTGTCAGGTGGTCTGCTTCATGGTTTATTTTTTTCTCTGTTGTATACAGCCATAAACAAGAAGCTGATGACATTGTACGAGTGGCAAAGACAGCCAATGACACATCAACGGAGGCATACAATCTACTTTTGAGGACTCTGGCAGGAGAAAATCAAACAGCATTTGAGATTGAAGAGCTTAATAGGAAGTGAGTATAATTTAAAGGTGGTTTACAGCCCTTTCGATATTGTTTAAGTAACACCAGTAAAGTGGTATGGATTTAAGGCACATGCATCCATGCAGCCAGATTTCTTTTGTTAATCATGCTTTTGAAATAGAAGAGTAGGGCAGGGATTATGGAGCCACAGAGATTTTTTTGATCCAATTACTGTAACTGTAAAGAACGGTAACAGGACTAGTCATGGTGCTTCAAGTTCTGCGTAAATGAAAAACGAAGACAAAGTGCCATGGAGAAAACATACTTGAACTGCAAATCTTCAGAGAGGTCTAAAATAAGTAATTACAAAATGAGAATCCCTTATCTGAAATGCAAGGTACAAGAGCTTTGAACATTGGACTCTTCTTCAGAATTTGGAATGCTTGTGTGTATACACAATGAGCTCTCTCATGGCAGGAACCCACGTCTAAACACAAAATTCACCTACATTCATATACAATGTATATGCATGGCCTAAAATTTCATGTATTGTTGGTGCACCTGAATTTTGACTGTGACCCATCACGTGAGGTCAGGTGTGGAATTTTTCACTTACGGCATCATGGTGATACTCAAAGAGTCTTAGGTTTTGGAGCATTTTGAATTTGAAGGTTAGAGATGCTCAACAAATATAGGGCATGCTGTATGTTATAAATATAAGGGATGAGATGAAATGTAAATTTCAGCCAAATGTTGGTATTAAATGAAAACATTTTTTTTTTTTTTTTTGGTTTTTCTCCGGTACCAGGAACCGAACTCACGACCTTGCGCTTGCCAGGCAGGCGCTTTGCCGCTGAGCTAAATCCCCAGCCCCTAAATGAAAACATTTTAATGTAACATTTGCTTTCAGCTTTTGAGAATCTTACCGTAATGATATAAACTACATTGAATCTGGTTAACATTAGTATGCTAAAAGCAGCTATCTTTTTATTAAAGCGTGTCATTTGTTCCTTAGGTATGAACAAGCAAAGAACATCTCGGAGGATCTAGAAAAGCAAGCTGCCCGCGTCCATGAGGAGGCCAAGCGGGCTGGTGACAAGGCTGTGGAGATCTATGCCAGTGTGGCTCAGCTGGCCCCTGTGGACTCAGAGGCACTGGAGGTATGCACCATGCTGGCTGTCACCGATGTCCCCACTCCTGTCCCCACCCTTCTTTGTAAGAGCCTGTCTGATGGCCAGCGTCCCCTCATCCACCCTCAGCTGACTCACTGAGCTGTTTTCTGTATACTAGTAGAACTCACTGAAGTAAAAAAAATCTTGCTATAATTTAATGTTGATAACTATAAAGATTATTAATTATTAACATTAAATAGTGAGGGGTATTTGGTGATACGAGTTATCCTGAATCTTCCATATGCACCCAAATTATACTATATTGGAATTGCTTAAAGCACAATGCCTGTAGCCCCTTACTCCCAGACACTGTCTGCTGGAGACCTGGGAAGCAATAAAAAAGGGATGGTTTAAATGAAAGAACTATATGAGGATATTCTGAGGCAGGTGAAACATTTGGGAGTTGATAGCATTTTATTTCATATCTGTACTCTAATCATGGCTCCTTCCATGAAGCTCTATATAAATGTGTTTTTGCATTAAAAATTAGACTTGAAATTTACTGTTTTACTTTCCACAATCTGTATCTTTCACTATGTCTTTCTAAATTTCACTTTCTGTATGGGAGGTGTTGACTTGACATCCTAAGAGTCTTTAGATCTCTTCAGATGTATACATACTGTCTGATTCCATGTGTTTGAAACTGAAAATAATCAAGACTGCGCTATGGTGATAGCCATCAGGACAGTAGCAGTTACAGGAGGGAAGATGGGGAGGCAGGTGATAGGAAAGGGATACAGGGGAAGCATGGGATGATGGGAACAGTCTGTCTTGATTGAAGTATTGGCTACATAAGTAAATATATTTGTCAGAACTCATCAAACTACATGTAAACGCAGAATTTCACTATGTGTAGAGTATACCTCAATTTAAAAATAAAGGTGCACAGAATCTTGATCTGTGCTATTCTCTTAAAAATACCTAACATTAAGTGTTATAGCATTTCCAGGCTACTTTTCATAGTTTTGAATCTAAAATGTAATAATCCTATTTGCATTTTCGTAGAATGAAGCAAATAAGATAAAGAAAGAAGCTGCGGATCTGGATCGTCTGATTGATGAGAAGTTAAAGGATTATGAGGACCTCAGGGAAGACATGAGCGGGAAGGAATTGGAAGTGAAGAAGCTTCTGGAGAGTGGAAAAGTTGAACAGCAGGTTGGTTTGATTTTCAGGTTGCTTCATTTCTGGAGGCAGGTGAGACTGTCCTGCTAAAGCAGTGTCTCTCGTGGTACCAGAGGGGCAGAGACAGCAGCTGCAGAGTGCTCCGAGGTGGCCTGTGCATGCTGGAGGCTGCAGAGCCTCAGAGCAGGGGTTTCAAGGCACCTGTCTGTCAGGAGAGGGCAGGGGAGGCGTTGGAGGGTTCAGCTCCTGACCTGCTGCACCTTTGCAGACGGCCGATCAACTCCTGGCCCGCGCTGACGCCGCCAAGGCTCTTGCTGAGGAAGCTGCTAAAAAGGGACGAAATACCTTACAGGAAGCCAGTGACATTCTCAACAACCTGAAAGGTATGAGAGCGTCAAGGAGAGGGTGTATCGTTTGCTTCTTCTGCTCCTTTTGCTTTCTTTGTTCCCATCTTTTTAGTGTTAGCATGGTATTCTCCACACACACACAAAGTGAGACGTAATAGTGCACCCCATTACCTGTTAGACTTTAACAATTACCAAACTTCATTAACCCCACACATCGCTGTTACGCTGAGCATCCGACCTGGGCTTCGCACATGCTGGGCAAGCACTCTGCTGCCAGCTGCATCCCCACTCCCACCCTCCTTTTTTATGCTGAAGTATTTCGAACAAAGTCCTGGTGCTTATGTCATTTTACCCCTGCATACTTCAATATGAAAACCACAAAAAGGCATTTGATTTTGTTGGAATAACTCACATAACCAAAATCTGCCTATTCCACTGACTTAACATTGGTAAGTGGGAACTGTCAGCCTTTCTCTGGGCAATGACATTGAATTCTTTGTTCTCTTTCTTCATCCTACACAGAAAAGAAATGTGCCTGGTTCGCTGAGTACTCTGAAGTCACCTCTCATAAAATAATCATAGGTTCTGTAAATAAGGAGGATTTATAGGGTAGTGATTGAAAGTCCGGGCTTTGGTGTCAGTGGACCTGAGTTTAAATCCCTGCTCCACAAAGAAACCTCTTTAGTCATCAGTTTTTCCCATTTATAAAAACGATACACTGCCTACATGACAGGGACCTAAGGGCTTTAACTCAGTGCCTGACGTACCATAAACACGAAGTCAGTGGGAGTTCGTGCTAGCGCTTGAGGTGGTAATAACAGCATACTCACTGCTCTGCCTCAGACTTTCAAGTAAGCATTCTCTTTCCTGAAACAAATGTATGTTCCTGAGACTACGCCTGGGAAAGCTGTCATGCAGAGATGTACCTGTGCCTTTGCTCTTCTAACATTTCATCCCATGCTGTTTTTCATTTTTCTCCCTGACTTTTATTGCTCGTAAAACAGTCCAGTTGCGGCTCCCTGAAAGGCTCCCTGTTTCGCTTGTTGGAGTTCAGTGCAAGTGTGTTCCTTGAACTCCTTTTAGATTTTGATAGACGTGTGAACGATAACAAGACCGCTGCAGAGGAGGCGCTGAGCAGGATCCCCGCCATCGACCAGACCATTGCTGAAGCTCTTGAGAAGACGCAGGAGGCACGGCAGGCGCTGGGCAGCGCCGCGGCGGATGCCACGGAGGCCAAGAACAAGGCCCACGAGGCAGAGAGGATCGCCAGCGCCGTCCAGAAGGTGTGTGCACGCACTTCTCCCCAGCGGCCCGCTCCCACATTTCTCCACAGCCCCACCCCACCCCACCCCCACCAAGCTCTTTTTTTTGTTGTTGTTGTTTTTTGTTTTTTCTCCGGTACCGGGAATTGAACTCACGACCTTGCGCTTGCCAGGCAGGCGCTTTGCCGCTGAGCTAAATCCCCAGCCCCCGCCACCAAGCTCTTGTAAAACTGTCTTGCTCTATCCTTGTCTTTCTCCTTTTTAAATAGACAATAGATAGAGTAGGCAACTACATTGACTGAGAAGGAGAAATCAGTAAAAGGACTCTTTAAAAATTCTATGTCTCAGTGTGGGGTCTGAGTTACTACGGGAGTGGGGGATAAGTGGAAGATCAAAGGCCATAGAGGCCTTTTTCACAAAGAATGAGGTGTTTCCTAGATGAACATGTTTCTTGGGGCTGGACAGGTGATTTTTCTTTTCAGTCTTAGACAGAGTGCTGTACATAACTTTTAAACCCCTTTTTTGCCCTACCCAAGATCCTCCTATATCACTTTCTATAGCTATCCTCATGCTTGCCAGGCACGTGCCATGCTGCTGAGCTATATCCCCAGCCCTTTACATTCATCTGGAAGAGTCATTTCTTTATGCTGGCCTTTTCATATTTAAAGAGCAATCTTCTTGTTTGGAGCTGATTCTAAAATTAGCGTAAGAATCACAGAAATGTCTTAGTTTTTCTAGAACAATTTGCTTTTGGGTTAATTATACAATATTTTATGAAATACTCATATTTCAGGATTGTCGCCTTTTTGTACATTCTGAACTGCCCAGAAGAGTGAGGCTAACTCTAAATTTAAAATTGTCCAAGTGCAAGAATTTATCATTTGTTAGCTGTGTGACCTCAACTAAAAATGGCAGTAGTAGAACAAGTGATTTCAGATATTAAAAAAGAAAATAGAAGTGAATATGCTTTATAAAATATAAAATGCTGTGGTAGGTAGTAGTATATTATGAGATATTTAATAATAGCATTAGGTATCATTTTGTTTCATTATTGTTACTTGGAACCCAAATAAATAAGTATGAATTACTGTACTACTCTTTGTGGATTTTCTTGAGCCATTTTGGAAACTATAAAATGAGAAGGAGCATACTTTAGACAAGGGAAGGCTTTTTTAAATCTGCAATTTGTTTATTTTGTGCTTAGAATGCTACCAGCACCAAGGCAGAGGCAGAACAGACCTTTGCAGAAGTTACCGATCTGGATAACGAGGTGAACGCCATGTTGAGACAGCTGCAGGAAGCAGAGGGAGAGCTGAGAAGAAAGCAGGACGACGCGGACCAGGACATGATGATGGCGGGGATGGTAAGGGGCTTGGCATATTTGCTGGTGGGGAAAAACGAGGGATGTTCATGAACAAAGGTCTCCAACCTGTCAAGAAGTCTTTTGCATATAGACTTCTGGTTTTCATTGCATTTTTTGGTCAAGATTTGGGTTGTAGGGCCGGGCGTGGTGGTGCACACCTGTAATCCCAGCACTAGGGAGGCTGAGGCAGGAGGATTGTTGCGAGTTCAAGACCAACCTGGGCGTGAGCTCAAAGCCAGCCTGAACTACATAGGAAGACCCTGTCTCAAAAAAGGCACACCAAAAAAAAAAAAGATTTGTTGTAACTTACATAGAAGATGAAGAATTTGGCTTTTCTACCAGGTATCTCTCACACAGCTGTCCTGTCTCAAAGCTACTCTGAGTTGAAACCAAAATATTATTTTACACAGTTGAGGTTTTAGGACATTTTATTTTTTTTTTATTTTTTTTTTTTTTTGGTTTTTCTCCGGTACCGGGAACCGAACTCACGACCTTGCGCTTGCCAGGCAGGCGCTTTTGCCGCTGAGCTAAATCCCCAGCCCCCTGGGGCATTTTAAAAGTATTTATTTTTTAATGGGTAAGTAATAAATCATATAAAAAGGGGTAATAAAAGAGTGTAATGAAAAACTAATTTACTTCTTGTTCTTCCATCTACTTGTTCCCTAGATGCAAAGGCCAGTTTCTTACGTACAAGACATGTTTGAAAATGATTTTCTCTCCCACATCACGAAGATGTACTGACCTTACATCCAGTTTAACTGCTTGCTTTTTGTGACAATGTGTGTGCATAACACTCTTTGTGATGAAATTTTTGGTTTTGTTTTTGTTTTTTGTGGGTTTTTTTTGTTCATTTATTTTTGAGAGAGGATCTCATTATGTAATTCAGTCTGACTTTGAATTCACTATGTAGCCCAGCCTGGTCTTGAACTTGCAGGGATCCTCCTACCTCAGCCTCCTGAGTACTGGAATTACAGGCTTAGGCCACCTGGCCTAGCACAATATTGAATTGTGAATGCATGGCCCAAGGCAGAGCTAGGGTCCATTGTTTTGTTCTTTGCTATCTTTGGCCTTTGAAAGCTTTTAATGAAATCATAACAGAACTCTTCTTTCCCAGTGTAGCATAACGGTCACAAAATGACACCCTAGCAGTATAAGGAAGGGCCCCTTTCTCTTCTGCTATTAGAAAAACAGAGACCCTCACAGTGGGTTATTTTGACCTTGGGATGGAAAGGAAAGACACATCCTGGGGAAGTGATAATGCGAAACACTTCCGGCCAAGCACCTCATTCCATGGTCCATTTGGTTTGTTTGTTTGTTTGTTTGGATTGCCCTAATTTTCTCTGTAACTTAGGTGGAAATTCCCATAAAGGAAAAATAGGTATTTGTCATATGTGCTGAGAGTCTGTGGAGTTTATTTTTAATATGTTTATGGAAACATTACATTTAGAGTCTCTTGAAAGAAAGAAACTTACATATTCTTAATGAACTTCAAAAGTGGATAGGATTTAGTTCAAACCGTAGAAAGAAGATCTATCTTTTTTTTATTATTATTTTTTTGGTAAATAACTTCTAAGGAGCATATACCACCCTCACCTATCCCGTTGGCATTTATGTCAGTTCTGAAAGGATAGCCTTCTGCTGGCATTGTTTGAATCTGTGACATTGTTTGTTTTAACCCAAAGCACGAAGGTTGCGGTTGTTCCTGAGGCCTGGCATCCCCAGGTTGAACACATCCGGGCCACTCTTGAGACAGTGGAGCCCTGTCCTGCTCTCCCAGCGCCCTGCCGGAAGCCTGTGCTGGCTCAGGAGGCACAGCTGCATGTGAACGGAGACGAATCGTTTACTTGTGAAGGCTTTTTGCCTTCCTTTCTTTTTCTCTTTAACATTTTCACATTGTTTTGATCCCAAAATGTTTGTGTTGTCTTGACCTCAAAGCTAGGGGAGATGATGATGTGGTAGGGAACTCAAAGCCACTCATTTATATCCTGACTAGATCTCCTTGTAAAAGCATCTGGTTTCTGGTGTTTAGACATTTCCTCTTCCGCTGCCGTTTCCCGGTGACTCATGCACAGTGTGTTTGTTCAGGTTTCGTGGAATTTTCCCAAATATATTTACTTCTGGTTGATTTTGAAATTGTAAATTATATCATCCCAATAAATGAGTCGCTGGGGAAGGGTTGTTGCTAGGTGCTTGCAAGTTGAGGGGGAATTTACAGAAAAGGTTCGCTTGTTTATGAAAATGTTTATGTTTGAAGAATAAGACATTTCTAATAATCAGATCCCTAAGAATGTCTCGTTGGACATGTTTTTGGATCTAAGATTCATCCCTATAAAAAGTTGTTTCTGCTTGGTGGGTTTTATTACGAATCCACCTCCATATATTCTTCTGTAAGAAAGTGGGGGAAGGAGATATTACTGATTTTTAAAGACAAATATAGTAGTGCTGGCATACTGATTGTTCAGGACTGTTCCCTAAAGGAGAAATGGCAACATCCTTAACCTAAAATACACCCCAGAAAACAAAAATCTGCAGTGAGAGCTTACAACGTCACAGTTGGAAGAGGGGGGCTGGGGGTATAAGCTCAGTGGCACAAGCGTCTTCCTAGCAAGTGCAAGGTCCTGAGTTCGACTCCCAGTACCAAAAAAAAAACTAGTTGGAAGAGGGGAAAACATCTGGAAATTAGATTTGTGGGCTCACTGTGGGGAAAATAGTCAGAGAAGATGAACAGAGTCAGAACTATTCGCGTCATTTATCCCTTTTCCCTTGCAGGCATCACAGGCTGCTCAGGAAGCTGAGATCAATGCCAGAAAGGCCAAAAACTCTGTCAACAGCCTTCTCAGCATGATTAATGACCTCTTAGAACAGCTGGGTAAGTGGCCGTAGGGTCAGTTTGGTCAGTCTCTATCCTTTGTGCTGTTCTTGGGATCTGATGTAGTTGATTCAGAGGAAGATTAGTATGTAAATCCCTTCAAAGTGATTCATTAAGTTACTAACATTTATTTTACCTTTTGCTTATTAAAAAATGCCTTATAAGATAGGCACAGTGGCCTGTGCCTGTAATCCCAGCACTAAGGAGACTGAGGCAGGAGGATTGCCATGAATTCAAGGCCAGCTTGGGCTACATAGTGAGTTGAGGCCAGCCTGAACTGTATGAGACCCTGTGTTGAACCACCTCTTACCCAAATAAACAGACGAACAAACAAACAAATAAATGCCTTATAAAATAAGTCTGTGTCTTGCATGATAGAACCTTCAAGAATGTCTTGAATTATTACAGTTTTTACATGTTCTGCAACTTCAAAGTGTGAACTGAGCCATGACTTTAAGTTGTATATTGTACAGGAGCTTACGAGGTGCCGCTCATAGACACTGCCCTGAATAGAACACCAGGGTCTCAGGGCTGTCTTTATGTTTTGAATATATGTTGCTGGCTAGTGGGGTTCATTTGTCGTCTAGGTTCATGGTCCAATTAAACAATAATTTATTTTAGCTCACCCTAAGAATGTGTTTCAGGGACTTAAAGGATAGGTTTCTAGTGGTAGAATAAAAATACTTTTTACATGGCCATGATTTCATTGCCAGGAATTTTCTTTATTTGCTTACTAAAGGACAATTTGATTAGGTGAAAGCTTTTATGCCCAAAGAGAAAAAGACCTTCATTTTTCAAGGAAAAGTAAACATACTAAAACATTCTTTTAATCCAAAATGTTTAGGATGGGGAACAGGGTTTATTTTAGGACAGATACACTTTACCAGATTCCATAATAAGGTAATAATACTCTAGGCAACACTCTTTGTAGTGAGACATTATGTTTTAATTTTCTAGACCTCTTTTTTCAGAATGTTGTAATAAATACTCAAAGGAAGTTGTGTTACTTACATACATTAACCATTTGATACATTTTATATGTGGCCAATGACAATTCTTTTTCACTCAAAAAAGAGGGAAAAAAAGCAGGCTGCAGGTTAGATACAGCTGCTAAAGACTGGTGTGTTTTGTTTGGTGGGGTTTTTTCTTGGGTGGGAGATATTCATCTGTTTGAAATGTCAAGAATAATAAATTATTTATGAGCAGATGGATCTAAAATGAAAGTAAGCGAGAAGAGCAGAACTTTATAATTAATCAGACTTAGCTTAGACTGCTTCGTTGCCTATAGGTTATGCAAAGTTTAGCGCATTATTTAATATCTGAGAATTACTGAGGTAAAGTAGTCAGGAGAATTTAATCAAGTGGAATATGAATAAAGTGCTATTGGTTGTGTCTGCTTTTTATTGTGGAGAAATTTCTTTCTAAAGAACTTCTTTTTTTGCAACTTATTCAGAGCTTTGCTGAAGTTACTTCAGCATTTCAACCTGGGTCCTTTTCCATTGGAAGGTTCCCAGTGGTGCCTTGCTCCTGAAATCAGGAAGTAATCCCTAAAACCAACCCATCTTTCCTGCAATCGAAGAGCTGAGGGTTCAAGATTCTATTTTAAGAGACTTTTTGTTCTTCAGATGGCACTAAAGTGACATACAGGTTACACATAAACCTGAAAGGAGTGAAATGTCACCAGATGCCCTTTAGAACCACAAGGGAAGCGTAAGGTCTAGAACTCTGTGCATTTAGAAAATGTTCTTCAAAACCATTTTCTCAGGGGAAAAAAATATTAATACTGTGCTCTGACCTTTGCCCACTCTGCGCCTTGTGTACATTGTTTATGCCCTGGTACACAGCAGTCACTGCAAGGCAGGGCAACTTTCATGTCTTGGCTGCTGCTGGCTTAGTTTTCAGAAAAGCTAGTGGCAGTTCTTGTGAGATGATGTTCTTACTGAATGCATCTTTCCCTTCTGGCCGTACAGGGCAGCTGGACACAGTGGACCTGAACAAGATAAATGAGATTGAAGGGTCCCTGAGCAAAGCCAAGGATGAAATGAAGGTCAGTGATCTTGATAGGAAAGTGTCAGACCTGGAAAATGAAGCCAAGAAGCAGGAGGCTGCCATTATGGACTATAACCGAGATATTGAGGAGATCATGAAGGACATTCGCAACCTGGAGGACATCAAGAAGACCTTACCATCCGGCTGTTTCAACACCCCGTCCATCGAGAAGCCCTAGCCTTGGGAGAGCCGGAAGGCTGCATCCCCTGACAGGGGGGCACTTGTGAAACCGCAGAGTGCCTTGACACAAAGATGACATTTTTTCAGACCCCCACTTCTCTGCTGCTCTCCATCACTGTCCTTTCGAACCAGGAAAAGTCACAGAGTTTAAAGAGAAGCAAGTTACACATCCTGAACCGGGAACAAAGGGTTTTATCTATAATAAAGTCTCTCTTCCACTAATGTCGCTACCTTACCCACACTATCCCTCCTGACTTGTGTGAGGACGTGGCATCCTGCAGTGGCGTAAACGCTTCACGGGGACCTGCACATGCCAGGGCAGCGCAGGCAGTCCGCCCCTCTCGCATCAACACCAGCAGAACTGCCTCAGTCTCAGTACCCTTGTTTCTATGAAGGAAAATTTTGGCTACTGATCGTAGCGTTGTGCTGGCCAGTATACCCAGCCCATGGATAAAGAAAATGCGCCTGCATCTTCTGCCCTCCTCCTTTTAAGCAAAAGGAAGTAAACACCCTGTGCCAAAGGTACTGGTCATTAGAATGTCAGTAGCCATCTGTCAGTCGTGCTAGCTGTTTTGAGTTTAGGACACTGAACCAGAGCCGCGGGTAAGAATGCAGTTATGTATGAGAGTCTCCAGGAGAACCTGGCAGAAGTCAACTGAAGATGTTCTCATATATTAACCATTGACTAGGAAGATGAACTTTTTTCAGATCTTTGGGCAGCTGACAATTTAAATCTGGATGGGCAGCTTGCACTCAACACTAGACCTGTAGATATCTTTTAATATTCTGATAAATGGAAGTTACACAGAAGAAACAACAGGGGTGTGATAACCACTAAAGTTTTTTCCAACATCGAACTAATTTTTGGCTGTTTTTTTTTTTTAAGTATTTTAGCCTTGGAGCTAGTATTAAATATCTGTGAGGGAACAGTTGTTCCCTAAGACCTGGACAAACAAAAACAAATGTTGTCCCAGTCTTCTAACAAAGGGGTTGCACAGATGCAAGCTGTAGTGTCAGGATCTCATGCAGGCCTTTTTCCCGTCTGTTGTCGAGAGAGAAACATTTGACCCTGAGCTGCAGTTTTCTTCTGATGTTTCCATCTTGTGAAATTCCTCACACACGTCGTTTGCCAAGTCCTGGTGACAAACGCTTGCACTCAGTATTCCACACAGCTGCCGACACCACCTAGTCCCTGCACTTTGTGAATCGAGCCTCTCTAACCCTCCCTCCACACAGAGAAGAAACTTTCGTGGAGTTTCCTAGTGGGCTTCTCAACCTTTAGTCCTCAGCTCTGTGGTTTTCTTGTAAGACCACAGTGTGACAGATCCCTGCCACACACCCCCTTTCCTCTGCCAACCTGCCTTTGAGATTCATATATAGCCTTTAACACTATGCAACTTTGTACTTTGCGTAGCGGGGGAAAGAAACTATTATCTGACACACTGGTGCTATTAATTATTTCAAATTTATATTTTTGTGTGAATGGTTTTTTTGTTTTGTTTATCATGATTATAGAGTAAGGAATTTATGTAAATATACTTGCTCCTATTTCTAAAATGGCACTCTCTGTTCACTTCTTTGCTTGGTCTCCCCTCTTCACTGGCACGGTATACCTCTGTACCTCCTTCCCTTCCATCTAGAACTCTGGGTCGCATCGCTTCTACTGTACTTTGCTCTCTGCCTTGTGTTCGCAGCATGTCCACCGTCTAACATGAGTATCAACCTGCTTTCCTCCTTACCCCAACTCAGGACGTCTTTGGCTGCAGTCCTCATGACCCTAAGCCGCAGCCCCACGTTACTTATAATGCCTGTGCCAGAGCGGGAATGCCAACTTGACAGGGTACAGCATGATCAGGAGAGTTTGCCAAGGGGCTCTTTGACACCACTGTGGCTCTAGCCAGGAACGAGCTGGAAATGCCCTTTCTGGGAATTCGTTAAGCCAGTTTCATAAGGGAGTGTGGCGTGCCTTAGCACTTTGGGGGCATCAGGAGTAGTGCTACTGCTGGAGAGACAGGGAGAGGTGGTGTACACAGCTGTGGATGTCCTTGAGGTGCACCACAGTTCACCACAGAAGTTTTGACCTGGCATACCCTTAGATTTTCACTTACTCCTCTCATGCCTCTTGTATTCTCACAGGAGGTGTGGCTCTTCCTTGCCAAGTTTTACATTGATGTTTCCAGGCTAGTTCCTTTCATTAAGTGGCCATATCCTAACATGCATTTTGGTCCCAGTTGCAGGAAAACGATTAAAAATAGACTGCCAGGGGTGTTTGAGCAAATCTTAGTCTCTGGTGGGGCTTTTTTATTTTTATTTTTATTTTTTTTCTTTTTTACTCCATCTATGTGGTATATTTTAAAACAGAATTCTATTTTTAAAATGAAAATTCTTTACTAAATGATGCCTTAACTACAGTCCTGCAGTTACCTGTATTTTATGTGATAAAATTGACAGAATGGCTGCTGCAGAATGCTGGGTGTCACAGGGAATAGATGCTGTTACTTTTCCCTGGAGTTTTTCCTTTTGATTCCAACTGTGGCCCTTTTATATGTGCCTTCACTTTAGCTGTTTGCCTTAACCTCTGCAGTCTTGCTCTCCAGGGTGTTTAATAAAATGCAACACTTGGCATTTTTTATGTTTAAAAAAAAACAGTATTTTATTTATAATAAAATCTGAATATTTGTAACCCTCTATATCTGGTGTGGTCTGAGTGTGGGACTGGGGCAGAAGGTATTTGTTCTAAAAGTATAATTACAGTGTCTATGGGTGACTTTTTGCTTTTCTTAATAATTTTCTTTAATTTCCTCAAATTGGGATACTTCCTTATAACCCAGAAGTTGGGAAACTTTTGTGAAGAGCTACACGGTAACTGTTTTATGCTTTGCAGACACATTCTCAGTTATAGCTACTCAGCTCTGCTCATGTAGCACAAAAGCAGCCTTGGTCCATGTACAAACAAATAAATATGACTGTACTCTAATAACCTTCCTGAAAAGCAGGCCATAGGTCTTCAAGCTGGAGTTTACTGGACCCCTGTGGGTACAGTATGTGGTCCCAATACTGTATTTGATTAATAATAACTGAGGAATATTTTTAAGTGATTTGGGCTTTTAAATTAGAAGCACGCAAGAAGTCATTTTGACAAAAAACAAAAACAAAAACATTTCTATGCCAGGCGTGGTGGCGCACACCTGTAATCCCAGCACTTGGGAGGCTGAGGCAGGAGGATCATTGCAAGTTCGAGACCAGCCTGGGCTACAAAGTGAGCTGAAGGCCAGCCAGAACTGCATAGGGAGACCCAGTCTCAAAAAGAACAAACAGAAACAAGAAGTCGTCTTTATTTCAGTATGCGTATCTCCAGTGAAAGGCAGTTTCTTCAGATGAAAAGTCTCATCAACCTACGGATAGAAGCGAAGGGGGAAGTAAGCAAAGGGCTGCAAAGGCAGGCCTGGTCAGCCCAGTGCGCCCCTTCAGCCTGAAGCAACTGCCATGTGTTTTGGAGCCTGAGAAGGCAGGAAGCCTCTGGACCTGCAAAGGCCTTCCCCTACTCTTAGGCACTCTATTTACTGCCCCACATCCTCATGGATTCCATGGATTCCGTGTCACCTTCTCAGTCTTTTAAATGGTTAACCATAGTACCTGTGAAGAAGGATCAGAACTCTCCTAATTGGACTTTTTGGGAAAAGCTTGAGAGGGCACTAGCTCCTGGCTTTCTTAGCCTGTTCTGAACCTATACTTGCATAGTCCCCACCCACTCACCCACCCTATCTGTAGGATCCGATTGAGATGCAAATGTTGGTAAACCTTGTATAGTTCACTGTATCAGGGTGATGAGTAGGAGTTTTTAAAGTTGTTCCTGTCCCATCTGTCATTTTAGAGTCAATGTTCTCAAAAGTTGCTGCCAGCATAATCTGATTGGACACTTCCCTAAATGTTTATTCTTGGAATAAGCATTCTAACCACTTGATAAATCAGCTCACCAGCTCCACGTCCACTAACCTTGAAATGGAACACCCAGAGAAGATCTCTGGCACCCAGGAGGACCATGAGCTAGAAAAGCAGAGGCAGAAGGACCTGGCCCAAGGAAGGATCAACCCCTCCAGGCCCATGACTTAGGGACGCAAAAATGAGAGTATTACCAGTAACAGTTGTACCTCTTCACTCAAAGCAGGTTTACATGAAGTATCAAAGGATAGAGTGAAAGCCAGCCTTTCCGGTGAGTCATCAATCTCACAGATGCTGCATCTCCGGATGATGTCCTGGAGAGCTGTGGTCAGCTTCAGTGCCTTGTGTTTGCATCGGGTCTCCTAGAGCGGGTGTACCTGCGTGTGCGAGGGAGTAAATAATAAAAGGCAAGTTCCTGCTTAGGGAAGGGGAAATATTTAGCAGAATTCCAATAGAAAGCCCGAAAGTCAGATCTGGAATTCAGACTTCAAAAGCTGTCATGTGGCCTGGGACTGTGGCACTTGCCTAGTGTGTATGAGGTCCTCAGTTTGACCTCCAGCACCAAAAACAAAAAATAAACCTGTCACGACACTTCTTTGTCTTTGCTTTGACTTTTCTCTGTCTAGATGTTCTTTCTTTACCCAGAACAGCGCAGCCTCAAGTGTCATCTGTGTTGGGAGTTGGCCAGTCCTTTGGGCGTGCACCACCCACCCTCCTGGCCTTCCGCTGGCTCTGGCCTGGCCCTTGGGCATGTCTTCATATGTGCACTCATCAGGGTTTCCCACCCTCAAGGCCAGGGTCTGAGTTATTCCAGAACGTATCCTGGAAGCTGGGGGGCCAACAGTAGTCACCTAGTTGTCTGGATGGCATGAAAGTACTTGGCCTTTCTCCCATACCTGTTGGTTTCTCCCGCGAGCTGAGGGAGGCTTAAGGACACTTGTCCATGCACTCATTCACCTCCCCACAGCATTCTGCTCCTGAAACACTCTGTCCTGGGCCCCAATTAGCCTTTTGTTTGCAGGACAATAAGCAAAGCCATTGTCTTGCACTAAAATGCACAACACACAGTACACACACTGCAACCAGCTAGTCTGACTGGTCTGTCGGCCTGTTCTCGCTCCCAGCTGTACGCTGAACTCCTTTGATGCTAGACATCTGTATCTACAGGTTGTGCCTTCCACCCCTTCTGTAGCCCAGTCCACATTTACCTTTCTATAGCTCTTGGGAAGGAGCCCAGCAAATTCCAACGTATCAGTTATTTATAAGCCTTGTAATTAAAATAGACCATAAGGGTATTAAATATGGCTTTCTGTATAGTTTGTGTTGACTTGTGTAAAAAGTTGAGCAGCAGACCCTTGAGAATGCAGCCTTTGCTGGGCGTGGTAGTGCACACCTGTAATCCTCCTTAGGAGGATCTCGGAAGTTCCAGGCCAGCCTGAACTACATAGCGAGACCCTGTCTCAGAAGAAAAAAAGACCGTAACCTTTGCAGGATGCGGTGGCACATGCCTATAGTCCCAGTACTCTGGGAGGGTGAGGCAGGAGGATTATAAATTCTAGCCCAGGCTGGGCAATTTAGCAACTTAATGAGACCTCGTCTGAAAATAAAAAATCTAAAAAGGGTTGAGGGATGTAGCTCAGTGTGAATGCCCTGGGTTCAGTCCCCACCAGTATGTGGGGAAAAAACTACAGAGGGTAGGGGGATTTCCATTCCATTGTTCCCACAAGTAAGTCTGAGTGAACTTAAGCATCATACCGCTGAGGACCACCCTCTTATCCTTCCAGAATGCCTTTCCCCCATGGCTAATAACAATTTTACTTCAACCTCACATCACTGCTTTTGTGGCTTATTCTATGATGTCTGCCCTCATACAGAAATCCTACATCACTGAGTAACCAAAAGCAACTGTCCGATTTGTTGTGTGTTAATTTTGTTACAGTTGAAAATTTCTGATGCAATCTCTGGATATTCCATGCCTGACTCCCAAGATACCCAGGCCCGAATTTCCCTACTGTTTTCCACAGCCGACCCCAGCCACATTCTCCACAGGCTCCTCCGCTCCCTCTGTGGCCTCTAAGTCGGGTTTAGTGCCACGTAAGCACCAGCTCAGCCCTGAGCAGAGCTGTCTGGGAGGTGTGCTGTCCCGGAGTGGATTACACGTTTACGGGCTGCTGAGCCAGCATCTGAGGTAAAGGCTCAGGAGGCAAACTATGGTTTCCATGATTACCTGTTGAGTGTGGTCAGAGTTTGTGTCATGGCTTGCTGTGCGCCCCTCTCCCCGCTTCAGACAGCGCTCTGTGCTCTGTCTTGGCTGGGCTGGGCTGTGCTGGCACAGAGAAGCAGCCCTGGCTGGAGAATGAGCTTTGCCATGAGGGTCTCAGATGGGCTGCCTTCACTACGATCCTGTGGGGCTCGGGAGGACTGGTGCTGTCAAGATAGCTCCATGTTTTTAAAAGCACCCTCATGGATCGCTGTCTTTCATCTGTGCCTCCTTTGAGCTGAGTCTCTAACCACAGTAGGAGTTCTCCAGAAGCCTTCCCTCGGTTTACCGGTTGCTCTTTCTTGGCCATGATTTGGTCCATTTTCCTTTTGAAAACTGTTATACATTTGTAATTTTTCGTAAGTTACCACAGACCCCTCCTTTGGAGATTGTGGGGCAGGATTATTAGTGGCAGAATTATTGCTGGAACCTGCCCCCCAGCCCCCTTCACTCACCTGCCCCTTGGTTCCCCCAACACCCCATCCCTCCTCTTTCCCTTGCTGAGGCTCAGGGATGTTTACAAGGCCAGGTCACCCAGGGAGTTCTGCCAACTGAGGAACTCACCTGAGATTTAACTCCACTGGGTATTTCTGCACCATTTCCCTTCCTGTTCTTTTTGCTTTTCATATCTTCCACCAGTTCTGAGAATTTTGTTCTTTTGAATAAGTTCCATTTACCGTAGCACTTTTTGAGTGAGATTGCTTTATATTCAAGGCTTTTTCCTCTCTAAAACTTTTTATTTTGATCTAATTTGGGGTCTACAGAAGAGTTACAGAGAGAGACTGGGTTTCTATGTACTCTATCCCCAGCTTCCTAACATTCACATCTGACATAACGAATGATGGTATTTTTTTTCCCAAATTCAGATATCAACATGGTGCAGTACCTTTAACTAACAATCTTTTGCCTACTTGTTTGTTTGTTTCTGAGACAGGGTCTCACTATGTAGTCCAGGCTGGCCTTGAACTCACTGTGAATCTCCTGGGTCAGCCTCCTGAGCGCTGGCATTATAGGCATGTGCCACCACGCCCAGTTTTTCTACTTTTAAATACCTTTTTAAGGCCACATTTTTGAAGATTGGGTTCTATAACAGAAAATGAGAATATTCAACATTAATACCCAGGTTATGGGGCTACAGGAGTAGGGAGTCCAAAATAATTGATTTTACTTTCATAGTAGGTTCAAGATTTCCTGACACATAACTTATTTAGTTAATTGCAAAAAATGTCATTACACAACTTACTAAAATACTCTTAAATTTCAAAAGGATATTTAAAGATACCCATCTGAATAAACATGGCATTCATAATATGCACAACTTTGAATATTTATCAGATACAGAAAATTTAGTATTGTTTTAAATGTTTATTATGAAATTTCAGACTTACAAGAAATAGTGTAAAAAATTCCCAGATTTGTTTTGCTCAGATTCCCCAAATGTTAATATTTTGACTACCTTTGCTTTATCCCTCTTTCTCTCTCTTGCTT